GCTGTTAGCGTCAGGCCTTTACATGTATGCGTGTTCATGCATTCACGTACACGGGTGCATGTGTGCGACCATTTCGTTTCGGGCCAGCAAGAATATTTGGTCTTTTGCTACTTTTCGCGCTAGGTACCCTAACAATATGGGCATATTCGCTATTGGGTTAATGATACAAATAAGAATGTTATATGTTATAATATATTTCTTAATGTTTCAGCATTCATTTCATATATGTTTACAATTCAAATCAGTGGCAGCAGTGAAATGTGTTGCATATATGTACATATGTATTCGAATAAATAAAAAATCCATCTACTGAGATAGAATCAGGGCATATTGCAGTCGGTGCTCGCGATCAGGGAACCGTGAAGATTTACAAAAACAACGACGCAGGTAGAAAGCACATCGCTGCAATCTCGAGTTTGCGACCCAAGCGACCGAACTCGCACATCGTACCAAAAACAAGAACAATTTTAAAGGGAACTGCGAGGCTGGCGTTGACTTCTGCACTAAAGAAAAAAGTTTGGATTTCTTTTGTAGTCGTTTTTCTTTGGTGGACTTAAGTTCACGCAAAAATGGCTGAAGTTATTGAAAGCTCCAATGAGATATTTATTTTCAAAAATTAATAATTTGGATCTGATGCAGTGCAATCGATTTTGACGAATTAATAAACAAATATAAATTTTTGACCAATTAATAAACAAATATAATTAATTCTACTCAAAAAGTTTTGTCAGTGTATTTCCTAGGCTCGCACATTCTGTGTGGCGCGTGGATACCCTGTTCCTATCTCAGTAGATGGATTTTTATTCATTCGAATACATATGCACATATATGCAACACATTTCACTGCTGCCACTGATTTGAATTGTAAACATATATGAAATGAATGCTGAAACATTAAGAAATATATTATAACATATAACATTCTTATTTGTATCATTAACCCAATAGCGAATATGCCCATATTGTTAGGGTACCTAGCGCGAAAAGTAGCAAAAGACCAAATATTCTTGCTGGCCCGAAACGAAATGGTCGCACACATGCACCCGTGTACGTGAATGCATGAACACGCATACATGTAAAGGCCTGACGCTAACAGCTGACAGCTAACATGGGACGGGTCGCTAACAGCTCAAATCTAACAGACGGTCTGTCGCTAACAGCAAACAATTAACATGGGACCGTACGCTAAGAAATTTTTGTGTCCATTTTCGTTGTATGAAATGACCAGTCTATACGTTGTATGGTTAGTGCTATTATGCTTACATTTTTGTCTTAAGATTTTTGTATCAACAATAAACTTATAAAAATAAATACAAATACTACTATTAACTTACTTTTTACATAAACGCTGAATAACAAAAACGAAAAAAATACATCGCTATTAAAAAAAATAAATATATAGCAGATCCATCCAAGTACTAGAAATATTTAGAGACGGCTGCAATGAGAACTAGAATGCACTGTGCAAAATATAAGGAATTGATGAAAAATCAATTTTGATCTCGCCAATACTAACACAAAAATGGAAACCGTATCCAAATGTCCATATGCTCAAATAAATGTGCAATGTTGCTTGAGATAAAAATTGTAATATCAATGTACTTAAACAGCGAATTCAAACTAACTATAATATTTTTCCTTTAAAACTCGTTTTATCTCTACGTTAAGTTTCAATAAAATGTCATTCAAAAAATTCGAACAAAAAACCTAATGGAAAAATTGTACCGTTCGCGATGTACCGTAACAAAACTGGAATAAACTTTTAGAAATAAAAGAAAAATAGTTATTATTGAAATAAAAAAAAACTTCCGTTTATACCGATGCAGGTTTTTTTTTTAATAATTTGAGAACGACAAGTCCACAATACTTTCATTTTATAATGCAAATAGTAGTGATAATTAATTAATCGTAAAAAAACGTTTAAATAAATGATAGTCTTAGTCATATTTTTTGCACTTTATGTTGTACGAATGTACCGTTGGCATTCTTGAAAATTCACATATTCATATATACTTTATAGGATCGAAAACGTCGCAAGGTTATAGAAATAAATTAATAAATAATTCATTAAATTAATTAAATAATAAATTATTATATTTATTCAAAATTGCACAGATCCATACAAGTGCGAGCAAGTTTACTATCTGACTCTTCCATTGCAATGTTTAATGCACTTTCAATGTATTAGCCGCGAAAATTGATATATGAACATATAATATACTAATGCCCATATGATACACTAATGCAGTTTTCATTAATTAGCTACTTCATTAGAACCTTGAAAGAGACCACTATATGTGTAATTTTGTGTAATTTGGCTTGAATTTTGCTTGGATTATTTTGGTAATACGACTACGGTCACACCGACCGTAAAAGGTAAACAAAAAAAAACGGCCGCCATTCGAGGCGTATTACTATGAATTTCTGAATTCCTCGTCGAAGTATTCTTGCATAAATAAATGCAGAATCCTTTAAATTTATGTTTTTAACGTATAATGCTTAAATTTTTTTTAATTATTACCAAAAAAAATGTTTATATTAATTTTACAGCGTAAGAACCTTGCCCTCGCAAAACATATTATTTTTCCTAATTTTCTAATATTTTTTCAGTTCAAAAAACCAGCGAAATGATATAAAAATAAAATTCTCATTGTGAGACCAGACTGTCAATGAGCTGGCTAATACATTTTTCAATTACAATTTTCTTCATTAAACCCGTATTTTGTTATCGAGTATCTAGTATATAATATGTAGATCTATCGATTATCGCGTCAATGAAGTAGCTAATGCATTATTCTAATGCATTAGAGCGCAATATAGTCGTCTTGCTCGCACTTGTGTAAAACGCTATAGCGCTGTCAAATCTTTAATGAAGTCTCTAATTAATGCGGCAGTGTCATGCCAGTATTAGTAACAAAGTAAGAAGAAAATAATAATTGAAAAGTATTACCCAGTTCATTAGAGGTTGAAAACCAAAATGATCTCTCAAAAAGAATTTTAGTTTCATTTTGCTGGTTTCTTCAACTGGAATAATAATGCAAAATTATGAAAAATATAACTTTTCGGTCACTGCAAACTTTTTTTTTTGTTAAAATTGCAAAACTTGGATGCACTAGTAGGTAACAAACTAATTTAAAGGTTTCCGCATACATTGCGGCCTTTTTTATTGTTTAGGCGCGGTATGTAGAGGGTAAAACAGCGTTTCAAAGCAGCGAGAGAGAGCAAGAGGCGAATAGTTTCAATCATCTGTTTGTGAGCCCCGTTTTAAAGGCCAGTATCGACGCGAAATCAAAATATCAGAAAATGGCATGGCGCTAGGAGTTTATCAGGCCTGCTCCGGTAATCGAAAACGGCAAGAATTTTTCGTTTTCGTTTTTGAAAATGAGAAATTGGTGCTCCGGTAATCGAAATCGAAAGATTTTTTCGATTTGAAAAACGGGCACCTTTTTCTGGCCGGAATGAAAAGTAAATGGCTTTTTTTATATGAAATCAGATCTTATTTACAAAAGGAAAAAAATAGTTTACTCAGTGGTCTATTGATGTTTATTCCACACCACAAAAACATCATTCTGGCAGGTAGTTATTTTATAAAAAATGTATTTCTGACCCCACCTCAGATTTGACAGCAAAATTTTTGCCGTGTTCACCCAGTTTTCTCGTTTTGGCGATAGGTCGATAAGTTCACCGCAAAAAGTTATCGCTAAGGTTGCCATACTGTTGGTGGAACGAAACAGCCAGTTAAAAATACTTATAAAATATAAATAAATTCATTAATAAATTTAAAGGACCGCCAAAATGGTTGTTTATAATTAATGCTATTTAATGTGATTACTTAACTGGTCCAAATTAACCAAATAATTATTTGAGACCACCGGAATTAAAACTGTGAAAAGTGTGGCAGCATCTTAGGTGACTGGATTTGCTTAATTCTACCATTTTTTGCCTTTTTCTGGCTTAGAAAAAGGGCAATTGTAAATATAATAGGCAGTACTTTACGTTGTTTGCTTATTACCAACAACACAAGTTAGCTGCTTGAGCAGTGAGAAACGATGAGAAATCGAAACATCCGATAGCAGAAATTTGCCGAAAACCGGAGCAGCTAAAAACCAAAACGGTTCGTTTTCGCCCAAAACGAAATCGAAAAAATTTTACGATTACCGGAGCAGGCCTGTATATAAGGGCACACAGTTAATATATTCAGAGCGGGATGCGAGAAAGAACAAAAAATTTAATAAAGCAGCTGTTCTCGACTTCACTTGCACTTCCTTGACATACATACATATTTAAAAATACGGAACTACCGTGAACAATAAATGTGCGGAAAAGTATAATTTAGACGTTCAGAGAGCAAAAACAGCGCATTTAATTTAATTGCTAATAGCAAATACATATTTTTGGGAATTGGGCAATTATATTGATTTGCAAGAAAGAAGGGAGGAACTGAGGGTAAATGGAATAAAAAAAAATAAGGAAGCCGTAGACCATCAAGGATAAAATGGCCCATTTATCGCCTTGCCGATCTCGCAAATCCTAATGCATCTGGGACAGTTGGTTCAACTTCCAGGCATTTCCCAATTTGCCGTACCCCTACCCATATCACGTTCTTTCCAGATTCGGATACTGATCCACCATTGCACATATGGGCTCTATAGCCATATCCAATCATCCGAGTTTCTTATCCAGGTGCTCCATTGCTGTCATATTGAGTCGACTGAGAATTATACAAGACATCCGCCGCCACAAGGATGCTTGGCAGTCGCTGATCGACAAAGATTATTCCAAAACAAAGCATAAAAGGTGACTGTCACACTTCAAAAGAAAAAATATTCTTCCGCTGCAAAACAGTTTTACTCTCTCGATACCGAGCTTAACCTTTTCGATCGGTGTCATCATTGTGGGATAAAATAAAAATTTGGGAATAATAACATATATAGTTGTCTTCTTCAAGGTTCTAATGAAGTGGCTAATTAATGATTGAACACAATTTCTTATACTTTCAGCTCTTTTTAAAAGGACAGTAAAATTGCAGTGTTCTTATATAGACTAAACTGTTTAACAAAGACTGGCCCAACATGTTCAGCCAACTTATCGGTTCCCAATTACAAGATATGCATGCAACATCTGTGGAACAATCATATCTATCAGACCAACAAAAGAAGACCAACAGTCTACCTCATATAAGGCACAAGACGGAAGTGGATGCCAAGCAACACCGACGGTCGACCAGTAACCTCAGCGACGCAGGTGGCAAATTTTTTTCTCAACTTAGTTCCAAATATTCCAGCCAGTTAATCGATAAATTCATCCGAAGCGAGCTCCTTAACAGCTCCTACGATTCCCTGAAATTTCAGAAGGGAAACAGTACTCCTCTTTACTCAAATCTTCAGGTTCCGGCCCTGGGAGGCTTTGACTGTCTCCAGGGCAGTTATCGCACCCATGGCGATGGTGAAATCTACGAGGTCGTCCAGGTCAAACAGCCGGAAAGGAAAAGCAGTTACGAGGGGCAAGCATTCAGCAAAGCAATCCACCATCGGAACCTAAAGGAACTCAGACCGCTGACAACGTTAAACACTCACACATCTGATGACTATCCAGAGCAAAAGGCAAGCATTGACAAAGTAAGCAATAAAATAATCAGGCCTGTTCTAGTTTCCACTTCCGCAAAATTTATTCGGATTCGGATTTCCCAGGCCTGTTCTAGTGTTCACTTCCGAAAAATTCTAACGGATTCGTATTTCCCTCTGTTAAGTCTCTGTTAATTTGCGAGCGAAACGCTCGGAAACTTTCCGACTGCCATTGGGCCGGCGGATTCAAATCCGCAAAATCAGAAATTAATTATTTTAAAATACAATGCGATTATGTATATAACAAATGTTAATTGTAATTTATTCCTAGAGGTTTTGGGAACATTATTGCATAATTGAATTAGCTAATACTAAAGTACTTGATCTATAAATAATTATTTTGTGGGAGCACCTTAAAATCGGTTCGATTCTAACCTTCAACGCTATTGCAAATCCGCCGCCGCTGTGTCGTATTTGAGAGGGACCATTTAAGGGTTGTCAGCGTTTAAAAAAAAAAGGCATATATTTAAGATAAATTTTGAACATTTACTTTTTATGTTGTTTTACAATTAAAAGATCTGCTATTAGGGTAAAGTATATGAAAAAGTGTTTTTGTTTAAAATACCAGCCAGTTTAATCTACAAACTGAACGAAGTATTATGCGAAGGCAATTTTTTCTAAACCCTCGGCAACTCTCGAGCATTTTGCCACCAGAAAAGCTGATTGCAATTACAAATATTTCAAAATGTTTATTTCCTGTCGTAAATGCTTATTCCTTCGATTTTATTATGAGTTGGAGACTAGAGCGGGCTAAAATTTGATCAGCCTCTTTTAGCAAATCTTAGACAAGGGAAACTCTTTTGTTTGGGAATTTAAGGGAAATTTAAAAAAATTTACTTAAATCACCAAAGGAAATTCGCTTATGCCCATATGATACACTAATGCAGTTTTCATTAATTAGCTACTTCATTAGAACCTTGAAAGAGACCACTATATGTGTAATTTTGTGTAATTTGGCTTGAATTTTGCTTGGATTATTTTGGTAATACGACTACGGTCACACCGACCGTAAAAGGTAAACAAAAAAAAAAAACGGCCGCCATTCGAGGCGTATTACTATGAATTTCTGAATTCCTCGTCGAAGTATTCTTGCATAAATAAATGCAGAATCTTTTAAATTTATGTTTTTAACGTATAATGCTTAAATTTTTTTTAATTATTACCAAAAAAAATGTTTAAATTAATTTTACAGCGTAAGAACCTTGCCCTCGCAAGCCATATTATTTTTCCTAATTTTCTAATATTTTTTCAGTTCAAAAAACCAGCGAAATGATATAAAAATAAAATTCTCATTGTGAGACCATACTGTCAATGAGCTGGCTAATACATTTTTCAATTACAATTTTCTTCATTAAACCCGTATTTTGTTATCGAGTATCTAGCATATAATATGTAGATCTATCGATTATCGCGTCAATGAAGTAGTTAATGCATTATTCTAATGCATTAGAGCGCAATATAGTCGTCTTGCTCGCACTTGTGTAAAACGCTATAGCGCTGTCAAATCTTTAATGAAGTCTCTAATTAATGCGGCAGTGTCATGCCAGTATTAGTTAAAGGGAAATCCGCAAATGTTATCAAATTCACTTCCGAGTGGAAATTAGAACAGGCCTGATAGTCTTTATCCAAGGTAACAGGAGCCGAAAAAAAGGTGAAATATCTTAATTTTCTAATGCTAGGAACATATTATCTTCGAAAATAAATGATCCTGACTAATTTTTTGACATACTCTGATGCTCAGCCCAAATATAGTCAAAGCATGTGGTTGTCATGGATTTCGAAGCTAAGAAAAAAAAAGTGTCCAGTAGAAAATACTCTTCCTAGACCCGATCTGACCGCGGCACCTTCTATGTCTTCCAATTCCGTCCCAAAAAACTAACCAACTCCCTTGGTTCTCCTAGTTATTGTATTCACAGAAACCTGTGTAGTCAATGATTGCTGCATTTTTATTATACGTTCCTACATTCCTCCAGAACTCCTCCAGAACTTCCTATTTATTGTGTGTTGGTTTCCAAAAGACTTTCAGATAGTTCTTGGTGATTTTAACATTCCAGGGGCTATTTGGTCCTTAGATAATTCCACAAATACACTTCTTACCACAACACATCATGATTTTATTACTGGCTTGTTTGACATTTCGTTGTACTGACATGGCTGATGCCGTGGATATTTTTTACAGTGCTATGAATTAATTTTTACTAAATATGTTCCGTTATACTATTCGTCATCAAATAAGCCTCCTTGGTTTACTACCCGCACGTTGATCTGCACGGCAGAACGCGCCGTGTTACAATAATTATTTGACTCGTTGCAGGGCTCAGTTTTTTAAACACCCAAAACAGTTTTATAATTTTTCTTAAAACTACACGTAGTCCCATTACTCATCCTTCCTCGCTTTCTTTTGAAAATACAACAGCAGATAATGAACAGGCAATTGTCGATCAATTTTCTAGGAATTGTACTGAATTAACCTGCATTCGATTTCTCAAGCTGTTTCCTCCTTGTATATACTTAAATACGGACTATTTTTTAATGTTATTCTTATTTCTCTAAAATTTTCTTTCATAGAACACGACCAACAAATCCCAGTCATTGTGTATGCAAAGCAGCGGAAGCGGATGTGAAAGTAAATTTCAGCGTAGTACCTCTGGCTCGAGTTCCTCAGGCACTGCTAGCAGGGGCTGGACCTCATTGACGGCAATGCCAGCACCGGAAAGATTTCAGCGACGTCGACTACTTCAGGTGATCTCAGCCTACGACTTGCAGAACAAGCAACTGCAGCGTGAGCTAGCTAAGGAGAAGAGACGCCGCACCGAGGAGCTGGCTTGCGTGGTTAAGTCGCTTATACTATTTGAAGCAAAACTAAAGAACGACTTGAAGTCGGTCAACCAAAGGATGTTGGACAGGGATGCCGAGATTTGCCGCCTGACCCGACTCACGCGCACCTTGCGCAGGCGGCTTAAGGACCAACAGCGCGATAAGAGCATGATTGGCGAGCTGGGGTTGGATCGCGATAAGTGCCTAGTCCTAAAAGAACTGCAATGCAAAAATTGCCGAAAGCAATTCTATGATATTGATATAAGCACGAAAAGAGAGGAATTTTCCGTGGGAGCCAAGGGTAAGATATGGACTGGGTGCAGACCATGAAGCATTACGCTTTTATAACATGCGAAAATTAATCATATGTACATATGTATCGAACTTTGTAAAAATGGCGAAGCAGGCATATTGAAGCCTCCTTAATTGAGTAATATATGTGCATACATAATATACATAGGCTTCGCGACTTAAAATTTTTAAGGTCATGTTAACTTTCATATTAATGTGACAACAATTGGCGCTCAGCAAGACAATATAAAAGGAGATTAACCCACTTTCGTTTGTGGGTATATGAGACAATTTACATACGTACATATATCTTTAAAAGCCATACCTACCAGATTTTATCTGCGTGCGGATCAATTCAGAAAAGGTCCAAAAAAGTAATGTTATCCGAAATTTTTTTTGTAATACAGCATATTCTAAAACAGATATCGAAATATTCGAATACAATGTGGCACAAACTTGATTTTTCATTATTTTTGTGAAAAACATGCTTTGCATGTTTTGTTTTTTAGAATAACTTCTCAACCGGAGGCATTGTGATTCTACATTAGCTTTCAAACATCACTCAGAGAATGCAAAGACTAAAAAAAGTGAAAGGAAATATGGGTTTACCTATAACAGTAATATTTAGATTTGCGTTATTGATTTCCTTTATGTCCCGTGCAAATGTACTTCATATTGAATTTTTTTTAAATTGCAAGTCATTTTTGAAATCAACTTATTACCATTTTTAAGAGACATCAGTGCACAAAAGTTCAAAATAAGTTGCATTACAATATAGCTGCTGGATCTAAAGAAATTTGCAATTGAATTGGTCGATCTCAAAAATCACTTCCATTTCTGTCCCGCGCATATCATTTGAATTTTGCAATTATCTTAAAATTGGAAAATTACCCAAAGAGCTTATAAAAAGCTTATGTTAAGCCCTTTATCAGAACAAAAAATCGTTATATAAGGTTGTCAAAAATTTGTTGTAATTATTATATAATGCAATTTAAGTCAAATATGCGCCGTTTTGTTGGATAAAGAGTTCCCAACGAGATGCCAACTTCATAATGCCCCTATTATTGAAGCTCGCGGAGCTTCTGGCGCGTCACCAAAGATGTGTGTAGCCTGGCGTTGTCCTGATGGGAGACACTACGGCCTCTGTTGATCTCAGATGGCCTCTTCTGCATAAGTGCTGTATTCACTTTTTATCACCAGTCACCATCCGCGTCAAAAACAGGTCGATTTTGTTGCGATTCAAAACGATTCGCATGCATCCTTCTTTTTGAATCCAAGCTCCTTCAAATGGTTTATGACTCATGCCCAGCTCTTAACCGATTTTAGCCTTTATTGTAGTAGTACTGTAAAATATGCCTATTTTCTCTCTATTTTGCTCCATGTTTACGACGCTATAACTCACGAACGACTAAAAACAAACAACAATAAATCAATTAAAATGTTAGCGCGTGAAAAGAACTTTCCAAAAAGATCTAGTGCTAAACGATGCGACGAATAAAACTATAACTACGCGCTTGCAAAGACACCTAGCGGAAATACCGCAAGACTTTCTTGACAACCTTATATATTGGTATACAATACTCTTGTGCTTCTATGTACGAATGTATAGAATATGCAAAGCTTGTGTGCAAATTAATAGGCGTGGAAACTAACAATGTATTAGAACCCCAAAAACATCGATATATTAGGTGTTTCTATGTTAACCCCAGCAAACAAATGCTTGTGTGCATTTGGCAATGTATGACTCTTTGGGGATCGCAAAGGAAGCAACTCATTACTCATATATGTACTCCTTATGTATCTATAATAAGACTATAGAATTAAAGAAATTAATGAGCTTGTTGTTTTTTTCTTACAGCTGAGCCTGACTCTTCTAGCGACGACACACTTTCATCGTCTTTCTGCGGCGTCAGACGCAGCGTGCGATACACCAGCAAGCGCACGGCGGGCACCTTCCAGGACTATATGCGCTCCCGGGCGATGCATATTGAAAACCCAGCTTTGGAGCAGCATTCGGAGGAAAACACAAGCAGTGTAAGCCTTGAGGACTCGCAGACGAGCTACGAGCAGCTACGCGACTACGTGCGGGACATGGATATTAAGCTGCCGCTAGATGTTGGTGAATACGTCAATCAAAGTGGCGAAGAGCAAGAAAAAGGAAAAACCCAATGCAGCCCCTTGGTTACCGTTCATCTTGAGGAAGAAGACGACATCTTTTCTCCTGCGCAGAAAGGTGATGACACCGACGACGATCAAAAGCAGAATATGATGTCGCAAGGATGCATTAAAATAGTTCAACGTCGCTTTGCTGACTTTTCAGAAGCGTCTCCGAAACAGATTTACGAAACGACTACCGACGACTGGTACGCCAGTGCTTCGGACCAAGAGGAGTCGTCGACATTGGCAGCTAAGCCTTACGGCCGTGGAGCAGTGAATCCCGTACTGGAATGCGTTAACCAAATCTTAATCCAGCAGTCTATGGAGGAAACGATGGTTGACCTTGCGCCCAAGTCCTCTTTAGCAAGCCGATACATATCGAATTCCAATTTGGCGCGAAGAAGCTCCTTGGGGGGACGGAACATTTCAAATGCACGTAAGCGTGTACACTTCTCCACCAAAAACAGCATGGTACATGTTCCACTCAACAACGACCAAGAGGCACAAGTGCGACGGCAGATCCAGATCTCAAGTTACCGTTCTATGACCGCCGATGTCACCACCGAAGCCCTTAGCTATGGCAGCATCTATAGCAACGAGTATGAGCCCATTGGGTCGGAGCGCGCTTCTAATCTCTATGTTGACATGGCAGCCACATTTATCGCCAATAATCGAGAAGAAATAGCCAGTTCAGGCGTTTTAAAAACGTCGATGAAGTCGCCCCCAGCTCTGCCGCCTAAGCCAGCAAATCTATTAAAATTTCAGAAGTCGCCTCACCAGTTTGAGAAAGGACAGCAAAAGGACGAAAACGATTGCGGAGCTTCTATCACAACATCCGAACCGGATTACTGCTCCATATCGGAGGTCGGTATAACCAGGAATTGTGTGCAAATCGTTGTTGATGTGCACAAAGCGCAGGAATCCAACTCGCCGCCGACAGTGGAGCCGAAGATGTATCTTGAGGAACAAGCGATGCAAACGAAAATTAAATCTATTGACAACCATTCAGATGATAACCACTCGGAAAAGACTGATGAAATCGAGGAGATTTTTGCCGACATACCAAAGTTACCTAATGTGGCTGCCATCATTGCGCCCAAGCAATCAGACTCAGACGCTTTAATGATTGAACCCAAAGCCTCGTTGCGCCTTCAAAGGCCGGCTCAAATACCACAGCATTCGCAGTCCCTTTCCCTGTCGACCATCCAATATAAACGAAAACATGTGCCTAACATCCTAGCCGAGATCAATAAGCGCATCACATTGCCTAACTCTCAATCCACTAGCAAGAGCCTTCCTAATACCCCTGAGTCAAAGTCAGTACCAACGGCAGTGACAATTCCATCTAGCGAGATGTCTATACAGGCGGAATTCGATTGGTACAATTTAGATGCAGAGTACGATCGCAGTCATCAAGAAGGAAAAAATCCCAATATGCCCGCCACAGCTGATGAATACAACTTAGACGAGGAGTTTCAACAAGAAGAGTACTCGCAACAGGATCAAAAAATGGAGGATATAGCCAATGCTCTTGACAAGTCACATTTGGAGCCCGTTAAGGCAAAGCAGATGGTTCTGAACCTGGCCAACTTCGAGAAGTTCATCGAAGGCTCCGGACTAAGCACGAAACCCTTGCCCTATAAACGTAAAACTTACCTTAATGCACCAATTGTTTGATGATAACCTTTAAATTATAATATGTTAACTTATTGTATTTGCCTTATTATTAAATCTTGCAAAAGTATTTAACGGTTTAAAAAATTCTTAATGTTGTTTTGATTTGGACAGAAAACAAAGATGCGTGGATAGTCCCATTTTATTATCATTTTTTTTTTTTTTTTGTTCGTTGACGATGTGGATTTGGTGCTTACTTCCTTTATTATAAAGGGCTACCAAAATAACTTTCAGACAGATGTAATCTTTAATGATTTCAGTACAGCATTCGACTCTGGTAAGCATTCTCTTCTTGTTCGGAAACTCGATTTAATGGGATTTCCGATTGATCTTCTTAATTGGATCTCATGTTATCTAAATGGCAGGACGCAAAAGGTCCTTTTTAAAAATAAACTATCTAATGTTCTTAGGGTTACATCTGGCGTCCCGCAAGGGAGTCATTTGGGTCCCCTATTGCTTACATTATTTATCAACGATCTGCCCGAAGTTTTGACCAACTCCAGAGTACTTATGTACGCTGATGACGTCAAGCTTTGTGTGCAATATAAAACCGCTTCTTGCCAGTCAGTCATACAGACAGATTTTAACAATTTACAAAAATGGTGCCGCGTGAACTTATTAAACTTAAATGGCTCTAAATGCAAGCTAATGGCATTCTCCCGCGTCGTTCCTAAGCCTGCAACTTATACGCTGAACTGCTGATCTTTAGAAAGAATTAATATAGTTGATAATTTGGGTGTCCGTCTGGATCCTAAACTTGACTTTTTCAATCATATTTCATGCATGGTGAATAAAGTCAGGGGTGTGCTTGGTTTTATTAAACGGTGGTCGAATGAATTCAATGACCCCTATGTTACAAAATCTTTATATACTTTACTTGTTCGTCGTATCTTCAATGACCCCTATGTTACAAAATCTTTATATACTTTACTTGTTCGTCCTATCTTAGAATATGGATCCTGCGTTTGGAGCCCGCAGTATGGCGTCCACAGTAAACGCATAGAATCGAAACTTTTTACTGGTGAAATCACTTAGCAGCCGACTGCGATTGGGTCGAATTAAACTCCCCAGTAGTTAGCATCGAAGTCACTTTTTGGGAACCCAGGTTCGTATTAATAAATCGTAGTTAAAATCTCTCTGCTCTTTCGAGTTCGAACCTCTGCTGACTTTCAAGTCCGATCTCTTCTGACTTTCGAGTCCGAATCTCTGCTGACTTTCGAGTCCGAATCTCTGCTGACTTTCGCGTCCGATCTTTGCTGACTTTCGAATCCGAATCTCTGCTGACTTTCTAGTCCGAGCCTCTGCTGACTTTCGAGTCCGATCTCTGCTGAGTTTCGAGTCCGAATCTCCTCTGACTTTCGAGTCCGAATCTCTGCTGACTTTCGAGTCCAACAAACTGCTCTGAGCTGACTTTCGAGTCCGAAAATAACTTCTCTGAGCTGACTTTCCGACAACAACTTCGTTCTGTTGACTTTCGAGTCCAGACACATCCCCTCGTGGATGACTTTCAAGTCAAAATAACCTATCTTCCGACGGAACTATCGGTAGAAGGACGAATCCGAACCACGGCGTATCCCAGAATCCAGACCCGGCATGAAATTATTGAGAATTGTACCTTTTAAGTCAATAAACATTAAGATACATTTTACGTCATAATCCTCTAGCGTTCTACTCTGGGACTGGGTCGGAATCTTTTACAGCAACCACACCTGAACCAAAAATAATTCCTGAACGGACCCTGGACGTCTCGCGAGCTACCCGAGGACTGACAGACCGTCCCACATTAATCTTTGCATATCCTGGAATTTCTTCAGCAATTTTGCCTGTTGTTTCATCTTGGTGGACTTCCACGAATTCAGCAAATTCATAGTCAGGTTAATGCGTTTTTTCTTTGTTATTACATATTCAGGCCTGCTCCGGTAATCGAAAACGGTAAGATTTTATTGTTTTCGTATTTGAAAACGAGAAATCGGTGCTCCGGTTTTCGAAAACAAAAGATTTTTTCGATTTGAAAAACAGGGTATATATTGCTGTTTATTCCACACCACCACAAGATCATTCTGTCAGGTAGTTATTTTATAAAATATGTATTTATGACCTGACAATTACCTGTCCAATGCCATATAAATTATTCGATTACCATATTGGATTCAAAAGTTATGATTTTTGCAACGCTAAATGAGAAAATGCGCTACTGTGTGCCGTTATTTTTTCAGTGCAACTCTGATTTCTTCTTCTTAACAGCGAAAATTGTAGCATTCACTGTGAAAATGTAAACAAAGTTGGCGATGAACAAATGAAATATGAAATTTAAAATGTGGCGCCAAAGCTGCAAACATGCCCAAAATAGTTGTTAGTATTTTTCTGTATATTCTTGCCCCAAAATGTCCCCAATTGTTACTATTTAATATAAACCGCCTACCTCTACTTTATTTTATAGATTTTGGAAGCCTATACCACCTATACACACTCTTCGAGGCATTTGCTCTTAGTTAGAGAAAAAAATAGAGAAACTCAAATTCCTCGTCATCTTATTCATTTTAATTCAGAGCGGATAAAATCTGACGCAATATGTGGTTTTGCTGTTGTTAAACAGCCTAAATAGTTGATAGACTATTCATTTTACTCCAGCATCGGCCACTTCAGCCATCTTTGTTTACGTTTTTATGAGCCACAGCTGATCGATCAGCTGTTATTGGATGCGGATGCACTTTAACGGAGCTCTGTGGCAACACGAGTTTCACTTAGTTTTTAAATAACAACCTTTCCACACAAATGCGCTATTTGGGAAGACAGTATAATCTGTGGATTTGCTTTTGTTAACCAGCCGATATAGTTTATAAACTATTCATTTTACTCCCACATAGGCCTCTTCAGCCATCTTTGTTTTGTTGGAACACGGGTGTCTCATTTGTTAAAAATCCCAACCGTTCCTCACAAATGCGCTGTGAGAGAAGACAGTATTATATAGGGTCTTCCCACACAGCATTAAAGCGCATTTAGCATCCGTTGAACAAATGCTCCATAAGGTTTTGTCGTTCCGAATTTTAGATTAGATTTTAATGCTGAACTAACGCCGGTTTGTTTGGCGATAGTTAGACGATAGTTTTTCGGTGCAACTCTGATTCTTCTTCTTAATTTGACCATTCACCACGAAAATGTAAACAAACTTGGCGAGAAACAAATGAGATATGGAATTTAAAACGTGGCGCCAAAGCTACAAGCATGCCCAAAATAGATGTTGGCGTTTTTTCTGTAAATTCTTGCCCCAATATGTCCCCAATTGTTACTATTTAATATAAACCGCCTACCTCTACCTTATTTTAAAGATTTTGGATGCCTATACCACCTATAGACACTCTTCGGGGAATTTGCTCTTTGTTAGAGAAAAATCATTAGAAAAACTAAAATTCCTTGTCATTTAATTCATTTAAATTTATTGCGGATAAATTCTGACGCAATCTGTGCCTTTTGCTGTTCTACAACAGCCAAAATAGTTGGTAAATGCTCCATTTCAAATTTGCAACTGCCAATTCGACAGCATTTGTTTACGTTTTCATGAGCCACAGCTGATCGATCAGCTGTTCGGATGCTAAATGCGCTTTAATGTTGTGTGGGAACACGAGTTTCACATTTGGGAAAAATCCCAAACGTTCCTCACAAATGCGCTGTGTGGGAAGACAGTATAATGCTGTGTGGGAAGACCCTATTAGAGAACATAAAAAAGGAAGATATTTGTAATTGCCATATATATCTATCCATTTAAAAATAATAAGTATGTTATTTTATTTATTATATTATATTTTTGTTAATTTTTTCACATACATTCTACAACCAGCGATTCAATTACGCAATATTGCGAAATTAGAGATCGATGTTTGGTCAAACATCGATGCATCGGTTAACATCGATATCAACAAAATCATCAAAGAACATCGCTAAAGAAAAACTTCGATGTTTTCAGCATCACTACTATGTTTATCCATCTCTACTAGGAAAGCAAACATTAAACTATTATTTGCTGAACTTTTAGTCAAATGCATGTTGACAGCAGTTTATGCAACTTTCTAATCCTGCAGTTTTATATGGTAGATTCAGCGCGTTCTACAAATTTGGCTTAAGCGACTGCTTACGCTGAAAAAGGGAGCATATTGTTGTTATTAGTGAATCGTAAATAGATTGCTCGAAACCAGTAGTGACGGTCAGCTCACGGTTACAGCGGAAGGAAACTTGTATTGCAGCTGTTTATTTATAACGGCCAAACAATTCGGTAAAGACCACCACCACTTGTCACTAGGCACCACCCCACTGCAGCCACAAGACTTTGAATACGAAAGAAATTTTGGTCCTCCCGAGTTAACGTAAGTTAAAAAGTTGCTAAGGGACTGGTAAGAATAATAAAAACGTTTCAATTTTCAATATTTACCAGGACCCCAGCCAGAGTCAGTTGTACAAATGGAGCCATCCACAAATGTCGCCAGCATTCCAAATGGACCGTCAGTGGCACCTGCCAGCATCAAGCGAGGCACCCAACAGGGCCGCAAGAAGTCGGGCCCCAAGTTCGAGCTATCCGAAACTCAAAAAGCCGACATTAAAGAGGCCTTTGACTTGTTCGACAACGAATGCACCGGTTATATCGAGGTGAAGGAGCTTAAGGTGGCTATCCGTGCCCTGGGTTTCGAGCCCAAGAAGGAGGAGATTAAACGAATGATAGCCGAAATAGACAAAGACGGCAGCGGCCGCATTGCATTTAACGACTTTCTTCATTTAATGACCACGAAAATGGCTGAAAAAGACACTAAGGAAGAAATATTGAAAGCCTTCCGGCTGTTCGACGACGACGAGACTGGCAAGATTTCGTTTAAAAACTTAAAGCGTGTGGCTCGGGAACTGGGCGAAACGCTGACCGATGAAGAGCTGCGAGAGATGATTGACGAAGCTGATTTGGATAACGATGGCGAGGTTAACCAGGAGGAGTTCCTGCGCATTATGAAGAAGACCAGTTTGTATTAGAGAGTAGCGCACCACGCAACCTCTTTTCATAGATGTATTCCGATTTTCCTTGCCTAAAGTAAATCGATTAGCTTTAGTAGTCTCGCTAATCCCAAATGCAAGTACGCTTTATGTGTACTTAAACTGTGTTCCCTTTAAGTCTCACTGAATGTACACGTACCAGCTAGTATGTCGAGCCGGCTGTATTTTTTGCACAATAATCTCAATATAATAGTTAATGCAAAATAATATAAATGTTAAAAAGAAAATAAAAACATGAAATTACGAAAATGTTTTCTTTTAAATACCGAAAATCAGTGTTTGAAAAGTTACGTACTCCCGTAGTATTTCGTTTTGCTAATGCTACCGCTTCACAAACTACGGCTATAGAAAAACAAGAGAGGAAGATAACTTCGGCACGCCGAAGTTTGTATACCCTTGCAGATTGGTTTTGATGTTTATATTATAGATTATAATACTGAAAACACTCACGAAACAGAGTTCGAGTACATTTTACCTATACTTATTATGTTTACAGTTTGACAGTTACAGTTATACATTCCCAGCTTTACATTTTCTCTACATCTACGGATCGCTTATATGGCAGCTATAAGATATAGTCGTCCGATTTTCATAAAATGTATACCAAAATTCTATAATAATAAGTAAATCTCATATCTCAGAGTAGATGAAAATACGTTGAAAAACAACGAAGTTATAATTTTTTCTATTACTTTCCCTAAAGTTCCTATGGCAGCTATAAGATATAGTCGTCCGATTTTAATAAAATTTATACCAAAATTTTGAAATAATACCAGAAGCTCATGTGTCAAAGTAGAATAAAATACGTTGGAAAACAACGAAGTTATAATTTTTTCCATTAATTTCCCGATCGTTCCTATGGCAGCTATAAGATATAGTGGTCCGATTTTCATAAAATTTCTACGAAAATTCCGGAATAATATAAAATGGCTATATCTCAAAAATGATGGAATTATATTGAAAAACAGCCAAGTTATAATTTTTTTTCCAAAAATTTATCGAACATTTGTATGGCAGCTATATGATATAGTCGTCCCGTCCCGCCCGTTCCGACATATATAGCAGTGAGAGTACATAGAAGACTATATGCAAAGTTTCATTTAGATAGCTTTAAAACTGAGGGACTAGTTTGCGTAGAAACGGACAGGTGGACAGACGGACATGGCTAAATCGACGGGTCGGAAAGGTCTCCTTCACTGCGTTGCAAACTTCTGACTGAAATTATAATACCCTGCAAGGGCATAAAAAGCTGGCAGCTGGGCTATGTGTAGCCGTAGCAAAAAATTTAGAGCGAGATGGTAGCAGAGCAAAAGACATTTTGTCATATGCTACGGCTGCACAGTGGTTGGACTTGTATGGAGACGCGGGCAAAAATACTTATAGTTGATATATTGTTACAAAATTAATACCAAAAATCAAGAAAAATGTTTTAAGTATATCCACAAAAAATTGGATATAGCACGTCTATATCATACAGCTGCCACTGGAACAATCTGTTAAAAATCAACATTTAGTATGAAAAACTAATTTGTTTTTCAAAATATCTTAACCAATTTCACAGATTTTATGTTTGGTACAAGTTTATACATTCTTACCAAATTTGGTCAAAATCGGATATCTATGTATATCTTATAGATCCCATACAAAATTTTAAGTACATTTTTTTTCCAATGCCTAAATTTAATTTTTTTATCTCTTGAAATATAACTAAGTAATCCGTCGACCACATTTGCTCCATGATTCCCAAGTTCAATGATAAGTATTTTTTTATTAGATTGTATTTGTCTTGAGTTTTATTCGGTTTATTTGGTTTATTTGGAGCAGCAATGTTGCCGTTCCAACGATCGAATAGTATCTGATTTTTACAATATTCTTTAAGTCTAATTAAGGCTGTCTCGTAGCTGCGCTGCTCGCAGGCGGCGGCAGAGAGACAGCTATGTAGATATATCCTTATGTATAAATGCTCTCAAGTGGAGGCGCGAGGGGTATGCATATGCTGTCCGTTCGTTACAATTATGCCGACGCTAGCACTTTCTTGTGTATTTTATTTGTCTAATACTTTTTTAAATGTTAAGCGTTTTCTTTGCCGGTGTCTTGTTTCCGTAATGAATCAAAACTCTGAAGTGCCAAAAATATTTTCTTTTGACGCATTCGTTCGAAGTTACAAACGTAAAGAAAGGGTGCAAAAGATTATTTTTTTGTCATCTTCTGCAGAAAGAAAGAGAGAAACCGGGGCACGTGACAACCGTAGGTTAGGTTAGGTTAATCCCTCGTGGGGCCACGCATAGGCCAATATGGCCGATAGCTATCCGGGGAAATTCCTAGATGGACCTAGAGACTATTTATGCGGGTTTCGAGATCCTTGAAGATCGAGGCGGCTTCCTCCTTGAGGCATCTTCTAGCGATGCCAGAACCGGAGGGCCTAGGTATCTCATTCTTGCCCTCGTTAGGGCCGGACATTTGCAAATGAGATGCTCCAAGGTTTCGGTTGCCTCGGATTCATCACATTTCCGGCATTTGGCGTTGTCGGTAATACCCAGCTTGACTGCATGTGCAGCAGACAGGCAGTGACCTGTTAGAATACCCACTAACATTCTGCTGTCTTTCCGCGGAAGATGCAGCACGTAGTGGGTGAGTTTCTCGTTGCGCTCTTTGCACATGATTTTTGATATTCTGTAGGTTGCAAAATTATTCCTCCACCTGACAGGGAGGCAGGAAGACAAGGACGTTTTCTGCTCTTTCACTCGCCAGTCCGACGCCTTTCTTTACAAGTCCATCCGCGGTCTCGTTATCGTCTTTGCCTTGGTGGCTGGTAATCCAATGGATCCCCACTGACTTAGTTGTACTCAGGCTATCTAGTGACTCCCTGCTTGCCAGTACATTTTTGGAACTGACCGCTGATGATTGAATGGATCTTGACTGTCTACGAACAAATTGACCGCCTCATGTGGACGGTTTATGTTCTGCGCAAGCTCTGCCGCTTTCCTGATGGCGAATACTTCCGCCTGGAATATACTGTAGTGCCTTGATAGCTTATACGACAGCCTCATTTCAGGGTCTGAAGAGCATATTCCGGTTCTACTCCTCCACTCATCTTGGATCCGTGCCCCCATGTGCTGCTAAGCATCTTCATGGATGCATATAGCGCTATGGTGGCCTTTTTCACCCTCTCTACGACATTGGCCTTCCACGTCAGCTTGCTGTCAAGTACAATGCCTAGGTATTTGACTTGTGTTTTCGGTGTCAGCATGGTTTTGTTAATCTTTGGGGGGATCCATTGCGGCACCTTGTATCTCTTAGTGAAGAGAATAAGGTCCGTCTTATCCGCATTGATATTGAGTCCTACCTTCTCCGCCCACTCACATATCTCCCTGAGTGTTGTTTCCATGATCGAGCTGAGGGTCGATGGACAGACTCCCGTGATAATTATGCTTATGTCATCCGCATAAGCTGTTATCTTTGGTGCTTTCCTCTCGAATCTCTTGATTAGGTCGTCTACCACCAGATTCCATAGGAGGGGCGACAGAACCCCACCTTGCGGCGTCCCTATTTGTGCTCATCTCACCATGGAAGCGGTGCCCCAATCTGATTGTAGCCGCCGGCAACTTAAAAGATTTTTTATCCACAAGTTGATAGCGGGGGACGAGTTGGTCGCTTCTAGGCGATCCATTATTGCGTCCGTGCTAACGTTGTTGAATGCCCCGGATATGTCCACGAACACTCCAAGTGCATATTCCTTATTGTTTAGGGCTCTCTCAATGGTGGCTACCAACGAATGTAGTGCCGTCTCCACTGATTTCCCCTTCGTGTAGGCGTGCTGGTTGGTCGACAGTTGTCTCCCTACATCGTTCCTGATGTATAGGTCCAGCAGCTTTTCAAGCGTTTTAAGTAGAAATGAGGTGAGGCTTATCGGTCTGTAATCCTTGGAGCTCACATGGTTGTCCTTTCCTGCTTTGGGCAGGAAGACAATCCGAGAGGTCCTCCATTGTATAGGGATATAGCCCGTGCTTAAACAAGCTGTATATATTGCGTAGAGCCATGGGGTGATCACTTCCTTGGTCGCCTGCAGCATGGCTGGGAATATTCCATCTAGTTCTGGTGCTTTTAGCCTCTTCGCTGCTCTCTGTCCACTGTCCGTCGTCGCGTTTGAGCTGACTCTGTATGGTAGGCTGCTTCGATAGCAGCCTCCGGAGTCTAGCTGTTTCCGGGGCAGTCTCTATATTGGAGCAGACGTTTCTCCATGAGTTTCTCTGCGCCTTGCGTATTTCCTTCTTGTAGTCCCTTAGTAAGACATTGTATTCCACATTGATGACATCTTTCGCCTGCTTGGCGATTTTGAAGAATTCTTTGAGTTTGTTTCGTCGGAATGAAAGGTCCTTATTCCACCAGGGTGGCCTGGTCCTCTTTCTCGTGTCCGATATAGGGCATGAAGCGTGGTACGCATCTAGCAGTTCTTTGGAAAGGGGTCTCTAGGGACTTTTCTATGTATTCCGCGGATTCTACTATGCCCGGAGAGATCGCGAGCCGTGTCGCGATAGTCTCCTTGAACTTTCCCCAGTTAGTATTCTGGACTGAAGAAGACTGATTGTTTTGGAGAGTGTTCGAATGCGTATTGGAACTGTATGTACTTATGATATGAGAAGGATGGTCTCACAAGGCCTCTCCATTCTGATACCAAAGTCCCTTGTGCCCTTATAAGAGTAGGTGGGACCTACAAAGGTTCCTCCCCCACGTTTGCTATACTAAGGTTGGTTGAGAGTATAAAGTGTAAGAGTGACTCACCTCTGTCGTTTATCTCGGGGCTCCCCCATACGCAGTGGTGCGCGTTGGTGCTGCACCCACGAGCAGTTGCTGGTCCTTCGGGCTGGCCTCTACCAGGCTCATGAGTTATTCTGGTGGGGACGTCAAGTCGTGTGCCATGTAGCAGGAAGCTATCAAAATAAGACATAAGGTTAGCGTGTAGACCCTTCCGTACAAGTACAGCGGTTCTGTTCTTGCTTATCGTTGGTGGATGGAGCAAATTGTAATTTGCGGACTTAAGTCCGGCGATGGCATTGCCTGAGGCGATCCTGGACCAAAGCTCTAAAGCTACTTCTGGCCTCCTCTCCGACACGGCCATTCTGACATATACACGTCCTCAGAATGGGTCGTAAACTGAGTTGTTTATTCGAATCTCGAGAAGTATCTCTCAACGATGTCGTCTGCAGTTTATATTTGGACCCTCGAATAAGGACTTTGCTTAAAAATCCTATCAGTTTGATGCAGGCCAGAGCTCAACTTAAGCTTTTAATAGTTCGAATTCTGAAGATGGATTCGCAGGTAATAATACATATTTCAACATTATATTTATTCCGTTAATTTTTGTATGACAATTCTGAACTTCTTTGTTCATAGGAGGCACCGCGGTGTTTTAATAGTCCTGGGCCATCATCAAGCTCAAGTCCAAAGTCTGCAATCGATTGAGGAATCGAATACCTGTTCGCTTGTAACTGACTTCCTTAATTCTATTGAGGTTGCATCAGGAGACGGAGACTCAGAAGACAGCAATAGTGAACTTACCACACCGCTCAATAAGTTCCCGGCCTAAGAAGGAAAAACACATTTTTTTCTGAAAATTTAGTTTTATTCATCAATTTAGTTTTCATCTACGGCTACACACTCAGTCCAGCGCTTCTCCAACCTTTCGATGCCATTTTTGGAGAAGGCTGAACTTTTGCCCTTAAAATAGGCCTCAGTATCGGCAATCGCCTCCTCATTTTTTCGATATCTCTTGCCTTGGAGGTGCTTTTTGAGATCTGAAAAAAGCCAGTAGTCGCTGGGGGCCAAATCTGGAGAATAGGGTGCGGTCGGCAGTAGTTCGAATCTCAATTCGCTCAATTTCATCATTGTTGCCACAGACTTGTGGCACGGTGCATTATCCAGTGAAACAGCGGTTTCTTCTTTGCTATATGTGGACGTTTTTTTTCTTGATAGCTTGGTCCAGTCGATCCAGCAGCTTTATATAATATTCGCTGTTGATTGTTTTACCTTTCTCCAGGTAGTCTATAAACAAAATCTCATATGCATCCCAAAATACGGACGCCATAACCTTACCCGCCGATATTTGTGTTTTGGGACGCTTCGGACGGCTTTCACCAAATACCACCCACTCAGAAGACTGTTGACTGGATTCTGTAGTGTAGTAGTGTATCCATGTTTCGTCCATTGTTAAGTAACGGCGAAAAAAATCGGTCCCATTGCGCTTCAACATGCTTAAAAACGTCTCGGAATCATCAATGCGTTGTTGCTTTTGGTCCGGTGTTAGCAATCGCGGCACCCACTTTGAGCAGAGCTTTCTCATATCCAAATATTCATGGAATATCGCGAACACACTGCCTTCTGATATCTTTGATGCATTAGCTATCTCTTTTAATTTAAATTTGCGTTCGGCCAATACAATTTTTTGGATTTTGGCGATATTTTCTGGCGTAACTGCTGTTTTTGGGCGACCGCTAGGGTCAGCGTCTTCGGTGTCCACACGACAACGTTTAAATTCATTGTACCAGTCCTTGATGGTTGATTTTCCTGGAGAAGATTCCGGGTAATGCTTATCAAGCCAAATTTTGGCTTCTACCGTATTTTTTCCAATCAAAAAACAGTGTTTAATCAGGACACGAAATTCTTTTTTTTTCCATATTGTAGAAAAACTCAAAGGTTGTTTCACTTTAAAATTTATAACTTGAAAACACGTGGTCGCAACGTTGTAAAATTTGTACACAAAGCTTATGATAAAAGACACTATCAATAAAAAATATCGATGTTTGGTTACTACTGCCCCGTATATGTCAGGCCGGGAACTTATTGAGTGGTGTGGTATAAAGGCTGCACAGCTCGAGATTGTCAACTACAATCCAAAGCCAGTTGACTTAAATATACACATTATGGAATATTGGGAAACTAAAAAATGTACCTTACCATATTTGATTATGCTGGCAAAAGTAGTTCACGCCGTTATAGCAACTCAAGTCAGCGTGGAAAGGTCGTTTTCGACTCTTAACTTGGTGCTGACCGATTTAGGAAACAATCTTCCTGCAGATTCATTGCAAAAGCTTCTGTTTGTAAAATTAAATAAATAAAATTCTTATTTACAAATTCGTAATAGCATTTTTATACCCTTGCAGTGTATTATAATTTCAGACAGAAATTTTCAACGCAGTAAAGGTGACCTTTCCGACCCTATAAAGTATATATATTCTTGATCAGCATCAACAGACGAGTCGATCTACCCATGTTTATCTGTCTGTCCGTTTCTACGCAAACTAGTCCCTCAGTTTTAAAGCTATCTGAATGAAACCTTTCATATATTCTTCTATATACTCTATATATGTGGGAACGCGCCGAATCGGACTACTATACCATATAGTTGTTATACAAATGTTTGACAAATTTTTAGAAAAAAAAAAAATTTTAACTTAGCTGCTTTTCTATATGATATAGTTGTCAGATTTTTATAAAATTTATACCAAAACTCTGAAATAATAAAATAATCTTATATCTTAGAGTAGATGAAAATATGTTTTCCTATTATAAGATATACAGATATATTTCATTAAATTAAAACCGAAAATCTGAAATAATATAAATTGGCCATATCTCGAAAATGATGCAAAACCTGCAAGGTTATAAACATTAAAAATTTTTCGGCTTAACTAGTCGTAGATATAGCCTTTTAAGTTCCCTCTCATTAAAAGAGGTATACATCAAATATATATATTTGTTTATTGGAACAGCTCTTAAATTATATTCTACAATAAAGCGTTTGAAAATTTCAATAGTGACATTGCTTGAGGCTTTACCTTTTTGTTCGTAGAGTGTGTGCTATTTTCATTTAATCGTACTTTAAATTTGAGCGATTTTGCTTTCCTGAGGACGATAAGCTGGGCTTACAATCAGGTAGCATGTTCAGAGAATAAGGTATGCCCATACAGTTCTTAATAAAGTTACAGACGCACTGAACGTATTGTTTTGGATACTTGGTGTATATCTTAACGTGTTCTGCATCTTCAAAGCACACCGCTGATACCTCGATTCCTCGGTCGCGCCTAAGACGGATAAACTTTTCCACATCTCGGTACGGGATAACGTCGTCGCCCTTAGAATACAAAAACATCTGCGGGAACTTGTTGCTCTCGTTTTTCAGCTCGCAGAACGGACTGGGATGGATCGCAGACGAGTGTATGAACAGATTCTTGAAGGCCGCAAAGGATTCCTGGAGAACATTAGATTATAGGAAAAGCTTTGAAGAAGTCGGTAATCAACACCCACCTCCACAAACCACATAATGCTCAACGTTAGTGTTATGGCCAGCGCAGTAAGGCAGTTGCAGCGCTTCTCCCGTCCATATATGGCTATAATAGCGCGATACAAGCCCAACATTCGACGCTCGCCTGGTGCCGAGTCGAAAATCACACCGCGCACGTCTAGAGGAGACTTGTGATTGATCACGGCCAGGTTTATGTGTTGGTACAGGTAGGCTCCGCCATTGGAAAATATGTGAAAAATCAGGGGATGGGCATCGAAGTTCATGTCCTGAATGAGCTTAAGAATTTTTTCCCCGATAGGTACCATTTCAGCGCGTTTCCAAAACAATGTGTCCACCGGCGCCGTGTACCGCACTGTTATTAGGCTAACATATTACAGAGTAATATAAGTAGGTGGAGGAACTGATGAATCCTTGAACTTACCCTCTCTCCTCATAAATTTTTGAATACTTCATTAAATATCGATCCTTGCAGCCCGCCCAGCCTAGCAGTATTACAATTGGTACGTTATCTTCGCCGTTGGCGTTGGAGTTCGCCAAGTCGTTCTGCACAGAGCTCTTAGGAAACTTAATGAAGTACTCCAAGGCGTCCTCCCGATCCGGAGGGGGCCTTCGTGTGACGGTCCCCTGCCGGGTTTCAGAGTTGTGTATAGTGGCTGTTGCTGCTCCATATTGACTTGCTATATCGTCCACTGTCAGGCCATACGGATGCGATGACGGAGATGGCATCTCGACATTCAAATAGTCCTACAGAGCTGGTGTGTGCCACAATTGGGCAACTGATACTTATTATAGAAATAAAATGTCGAATTCAATTATTAGGAAAATCGTGCCTGGTTACGCAAAGCCTACAAAAATCCTACCTGTCTTTTTGTATTTTATAACCACCTCAGACGGTTTACAATTACAAATGTCAACGTATATCGCTGTGTTTCTAAGGAGACTTATTTCAAACGATTGATTTTTCAATCAGCCCAGAAATGCTCCTGCTGCAGTTGAAGGCAGCAGGAAGAAACAAGCCGCATTCCAGTGGAATCAGCCGTTCCGGCTGCCGCTTCCAATCGCAGGTGCTCTCAAATAGGTTGGACATGCGCACTGATGACTTCCCACCACGAAGTTATGTGTGACACCGACTACCTCAGAAACGTCAAAGACGGGAACAATTTATATAATAAAACTCCAAAATAATGTTGAAAATAGTTTACATCATCACCACTTAATATTTAGCGCCGTACTGAGTTTCTCTACAGCATGATAACTGGTATGCAGCAGCTCGTGACATTTGTCTGTGTGGGCCCCACCGTCCAGGAACTCACTGTACACATGCTTTGATACGTCATTGTCGGGAACGGAGTGCGGCAGCTTCTTATACAATTCCCTCAGCTCTTGGGTTAGCTCTCGCACATGCTGTCCAGTGGTTGGCCGCACCTGTGCACCTCCGTTAATACAGCCGGAGGGGCAAGCCATGACCTCCACAAAATTATAATTGGCTCCTTTACCCCGCTTTAGTTTTTGTACTAGATTCTGAATATTGCGGAAACCGTTAGCAATTGCAAACTTCAGCACCGCTTTGCCCTCTCTCTCAAGGACAATCTCGAAGAAGTCGCGATTCTTGACGGGTTTTAGTTCTAGCTCTTCGGGCGGAATGTCCTTGTTAAAAAGCTCCTTTGCAGCATATTTAAATATGTGTTCGGCGTAGCCGCCAGAAAGTGTCGACTCATGCGACCACACCATGGAGTCAGGCCTCCTATCCGACCAAGGCCAATCCAGATCTGCCGGCTCGTGCTGCGGCAAAGGGTGCTCATCCTCTGTCAACATCTGTTCAATCTCAACTGCAGAATAGGAGTATGTACATCAATCTCAGCTCATACAACACATCACAATCCCAACCTGAAGTAATTACACAGTCAACATCTCGAGACTCATTCACCTCGCTGAAGAAATCCTGTCGTGAGGACTCCAGCTTCTTGTCGTAACAGGGCATCACGGTCACATGGTAAATGCGGGACCCGGCAACATTTAACCTCTCGGCCAGGTACTGCTTCACCAAAACACCCATTATCTGCTGTGGCGATCGGGTTGTAGATAAATGTGGCAGTATGAAGTTGCCGTGTGTCTTCTCCGCGTAACACACCCAGCCCGGGCACGAGGAGCTAAGCATTGTCTGATTTTCATTTTCGCGGTAACGCTCTAAGAACTCCTGCCGGCACTCGAGCAGAGCCAGATCGTCGGCTACTTTAGTGCACAGCACATAGTCTGCACCTAAACTGCGGAAATAGCCGGAAAGGTGCCGTGCCGCATCCTCTGCTCCGATTTGATAACGATTCGCCAAACTTAATATGGGTTGTGTAGAAATGGTGAAAACGACTGTTCGTACCTTTTCGTTGTCCCTATCAATTGCTTTCAGTTTGGTGTTTTCTCTGAGCACCTTGAGCAGCTCCTCTTGGCTTTGCTGCGTAATTAACACGCCCTCGGCAGATGTTATGCAGCCGGAGCAGGCCAAACAGTCTTGAAGTGTAATTTCCACCTTCTGCAGTTTCTTCTTGCCGCTCTGAAATTCATAAGATAGATTATAAAAATATGTTTCGATTTCCAGGCTGCCTCGACCACCGACCAACCTCAGTTTCCTCATAGTAACCATTTCCTTCCACTGTGATTTTGGCCCCGGTCTTTGATTTTGTCTTATCTATTGTCACTGGCTTTATGCATTCCTGTAATAGAGACGAGACATTAGATACAAATCCCCAATTACATTAGAAACTATACTGTACTTAACCTGAGAGGGAGTAATAAAATCGTCTATATCTGTTAACTGAAGTGCACCACTAAACCTGGACATTATCACAAAGTTTTTGATTACGTTTGTATTCCAACGAAATAGAGTTATTCAAATCAGTGCTGCCGTTCTGGCGATATAAAATCTGGATTGCACAGCTGTCACAAAATTGTAGGACAAAATACATCATTTACACCCTGTTGTACTATAATATTTATTATATAAGTTTAAGCATTTAAGTACTCTGACGACGAAAATCCGCTGTAACACGTGGTTTAGCAAAATCTCTGTTTATTTGGCTCGGTAACCAGTGTGACCAAAAAAATTAAGGAAAAGCCATGAAACGCCATGAAAATACTGAACAGCTCTTTGTTGTTTGTAAAGCCTAGTACTCTGACGACGAAAATCCGCTGTCTAAATTTAGACAGCGGAATCGCTGTTTAATTTGTTACCGAACCAGTGTGACCAAAAAAATATAAAAACGCCAGGAAAGTGTACCTTTTATGGCGTTTAAGGATTTTCTTTGGTCACACTGGACAGCTGTTTGTAAACAAAAATAATATTGAAAATATTAATAAATATGTCATTAAAATTTCCTTTGTGGGTTAAATTCCATATTATGGCCTTCACATTGACAGTCCCTATCATTGCCACCTTTTTTCTTCAACTTCAACTTCCCTCCATTAGGGGTGTCTAAATATATCAAATGAATTATTTAGACAGCGCGATATCAGCTGTTTACCATCTTGATCTGGCAGCGCCATTCAATTTTCACAGGCATCATTTTCGTCGTCAGAGTACCGGCTTTTTTTATGGACTTTTTGCCATAACACGTGTTACAGCGGATTTTCTTCGTCGGAGTACTAGGTTTAAACTTCAAATCAAACACCAAGGAGAAGTGATAGAAGTGCTAGAGATCGGTAAAATTTTGTAATTCCCACAGACATGACATGTACGTTCCCCATCCGTTGAACGGAAAGGCTCATTTGTTCTCATCAATGTTCTCATTTTGTTCCGCATCCGCTGAGCATATATATTTGATGAACATATTTTGGCGATAGTTAAGAGGCAGTGTTTTGGTACAACTTTGATTTCTTTTTCTTGACAGTGAAAATTTTACAATGGAATTATGTCGAGCCAAGGCTACAAGACAGCCCTAATAAGGTCTTCCCACACACCGTCAAAGCGCATTCACCGTCTGTTGAACAAACGGTCCATAAGGTTTGCCGTTCCGAATTTTCTCAAATGGACCGCGGTTAGAACGCATTAGAATCTTACCACGATTTGTTTGGCGATAGTTAGGCGATAGTTTTTCGGTGCAACTCTGATTTCTTCTTGTTATGCTGATATGACACAGCCGCATTAATTAGAGACTTCATTAAAGATTTGACAGCGCTATAGCGTTTTACACAAGTGCGAGCAAGACGACTATATGGCGCTCTAATGCATTAGAATAATGCATTAGCTACTTCATTGGAGCGCTAATCGATAGATCTACATATTATATACTAGATACTCGATAACAAAATACGGGTTTAATGAAGAAAATTGTAATTGAAAAATGTATTAGCCAGCTCATTGACAGTATGGTCTCACAATGAGATATTTATTTTTATATAATTTCGCTGGTTTTTTTAACTGAAAAAATATTAGAAAATTAGGAAAAATAATATGTTTTGCGGTGGCAAGGTTCTTGCGCTGTAAATTTAATTTAAATTTTTTTTTTTGGTAATAATTAAAAAAATTTTAAGCATCATAGGTTAAAAACATAAATTTAAAGGATTCTGCATTTATTTATGCAAGAATACTTCGACGAGGAATTCAGAAATTCATAGTAATACGCCGCGAATGGCGGCCGTTTTTTTTGTTTACCTTTTACGGACGATGTGACCGTGGTCGTATTACCAAAATAATCCAAGCAAAATTCAAGCCAAATTACACAAAATTACACATATAGTGGTCTCTTTCAAGGTTCTAATGAAGTAGCTAATTAATGAAAACTGCATTAGTGTATCATATGGGCATTAACAGTGAACATTTGACCAACACTTCGAAAAATGTAAACAAAGTTGGCAAGGAACAATTGAAAAATGAATTTTAAAATGTGGCGCCAAAGCTACAAACATGCCCAAAATAGTTGTTGGTGTTTTCTGTATATTCCTGTCCCCATGTGTCCCCAATTATTACTATTTAATATAAACCGCCTGCATCTACCTAATTTTAAAGATTTTGGATGTCTATACCACCTATAGACACTCTGCGGGGAATTTGCTCTTTGTTAGAGAAAAATCATTAGAAAAAATAAAATTCCTTGTCATTTAATTCATTTAAATTTAGTGCGGATAAATTCTGACGCAATGTATGGTTTTGCTGTTGTTAAACAGCCGAAATAGTTTATAAACTATTCAATTTACTCCCACATAGGCCGCTTCAGCCATCATTGTTTACGTTTTCATGAGCCACAGCTGATCGATCAGCTATTCGGATGCGGATGCACTTTAACGCAGCTCTGTGGGAACAGGAGTTTCACTTTTTTTAAAACTCCCAACCGTTCCTCACAAATGTGCTGTGTGTGAAGACAGTATAAAATAAAGTTGGAGAAGGCGTATTTTATTATATTATGTTTGGAAAACATCGATAACATTGCGGTTGGGACCGATGTTGGTTAACTAATTTTCTGAGAATTAAGGCAACAGAAAATCTTATGAACTATCCTGTTCAACGGATGATGGATAGATAAAGAGGCTGTTTTATGTATGCAGCATTTGTATCGAGGGTTCCGGCGTGCAGAAACTATTTTTTTATTTTTATTTTTTTTTTAAATTTTGTTGTACTCTAGCCTGCTGTAGCATTTGTGAAAAATAAGTTGTAAGTTCATGGAATTTTATAGAAAACATTTAAAAGTTTGACAAGGGATCTAAACTTTTCAACATTGCAGCCTTTTCTATTTCATTTTAAAAATCGCGGGAAGGTGAATTTGAAGTTTTCACCTATTTCAGCTCCTATAGCTGCACTGTTCTGTCGCACTCATTGCTTATGGGGCACCACAGCCTATTGCTTTCGCCTTGCACATTTTAACACCACACTTAATCAGCTGTTTACTTTCAACACATCACCAAACGACGTCAATACAGAAAATTGTATACTGCTAAAATTGCGCCTCTCCAGGTTGTCGTTTTTGTTTGACGTCACAAAGTTAAAATGCGACAATATCACGCTGCGTTCAGGCAACTAATGTGTCACAGGCAGACATCGATGATATCCTCAAGGTTTAGGTCGCAGTTGCTGATCCTGTCGTCATTCTCGGACTATACGCCCGCTCTTAGAAAATACTCAAAGTTTAGCACACACCTGTCGACGGAGCGGGCAATGGAGTTACTGTGTAACTTGGACGAAGAAGAGCGCAGCAATCTGCGCTGTGCACTGGGAAAGGTGGAGGCCGACAAGGAAAAGAAACTATACGAGAGTGAGTAATTTTTGGAATGCCTTTAATTCACTTAACAACTCATATTGGTCAATCTTAAACTGTAGCACAAATGTACATGCATACATATGTGCGTAGCTTGGGAATGGACCAGCGATGATCCAGGTTGGGGGCTGCGGTCCGGACTACATCAGTCCGTGTTTGGTGGCCTCGCTTTTAAAGCAAGCGCCGTAGGCCTCTGCGGCCTCGCAGTGGTCCTCCGGCACACTGATGCCAGCACAGGTGTCGCCGATCTCTAGGGCGAGCTTAAGCTTGGCTGGATCATCGCCTGTATACTGCTTTGCCTTCTCGTGGCCGGCCTCGGTGTCCAGCTTGCCGCTGGAGTTGAGCAGCCCGAAACTTTTCATTACACATGCCCGCAGGCATTTGCCTTCATAAGTGGATGCAGGTTGCTTCTTAACCAGATCCTGCAAGTCGCTTTGGGCAGCACCCACCTCGCCCATACAGGACTCTGCGGACTCCATTAGCTTGGCCATGGCTTCCTTCTCGTCGAAGCCGCGCACTAAAACGGCGACGCTAAAAAGCAGCACTGCTACGAAAATTGCCGGTAGCCGCTGCATGTTGCTGATGCTGAGCTAATGGTATCAGACTAAACTTGGCCTTTGCAGATGGAGGGCTTCAGCTTTTATAGCCGATTCGTGAACTCGCTGGGCTGTGAAATAATATAGTATGTCATTTTGGAAAACCTTACATTGTGAGACTAATTGCCCCGATCGGGATTGTTATTATTATTTTTTTTTTATATTCCATTTTAAGTTTCGGTGGCTGACAAACTTTAAGTAATAAGTAAAACAAAATCCGCCCCTATCGGACACGCACACACATTTGTGATGACACCACACTGGGCGGGATTTTTTTGTCCAAATTATATTGCCATTTCTGCCTCTTTAAGATATATATATGAATATTTTCAATCAGCTTCCTTAATCGATTTGTTGTAACGCATACATATTCTGCACGTTGGAGTCTTCAGCTTTAATGTTTTTGGTTAAGGTTACTATGTAGGGATTTTGTTTGATAGTTACAACAATATTAAAAAACAAGCAGGGCCTTCATTAACATTCCAATTTAATTTTACTTAAACTTTCAGATTTATTACCTTATTACCAAAAAATGTGTTGTCACCATTTATTAGCAATTAATTTCAAAATTAAAGTTTTATTAGAATGTTTCTAATCAAATATGTATTTTATAAAAATTCAAAAAGGTGCATCGTTCAACGAACAAATTTCCTAATTTTAATAATTTATTATCCTAGCGCAGCAAGTTGTAGCTCTAGTTACATAGAACTGGAAATATATACCTAATAGACTTATAACTTACTTATTACTAACAATTACCTCTTTCATACCCTTGCTGGGTATTATAATTTTAGTCAGAAGTTTGCAACGCAGTGAAGGAGACATTTCCGACCCTATAAAGTATATATATTCTTGATCATTATCAACAACCGAGTTGATCTAGCAATGTCCGTCTGTCCGTTTCTACGCAAACTAGTCCCTCAGTTTTAATGCTATCTGAATTAGACTTTGCATATAGTCTTCTATATACTCTCACTGCTATACGTATTTTCATCTACTTTGAGATATGAACTTTTTTTAATTTCCCAGAATTTCGGTTTTAATTTTATAAAAACCGAACGACTATATCATATAGCTACCGTAGAAACGATCTGTAGATGTAGAGAAAATGTAAAGCTGCGAATGTACAACTGTAATTGTAAATATTGTTTTGTGTGTGTTTTTAGAATTTATATTTATAATGTTTATTATATTAAATATTGAAATATGAAATATAGTTTTTTTATACGAGTAAACTTTTTGTTTTTTAATTTTATCAAAACCAAATTATTCTATGCTATGTATAAATATACAACTTTTATATATTTCCTTTAATTTTTTGTTCTATTATTTTTTCCAGGTTGGATCGATTCTTAAGGGGGGGGCAAGGTTAATTCGGTGCAAAAAAGGCCACTTTTCAAAAAATTATTGTGGCGGAACGGCTAAAGTTAGCTTAATGAATTAAATACCATATAATAACATAACATTTGAATAACTTTTAGTAAATTTTGTATTGAAAAATATTTAGAGGTAGAGAAGTTATAGGGAATCTCCCGAGTCGCCTCCAAAAAAAGTTGTTTTGCGGTGTACATCCTAACAGTCCACAGGATCATCCGATCTAAAAAAATTATACCTCATTCGTTAAAGGATAAGTGTCCCGAGGTATTCACGAAGCGTTTTTTTTTTGTTTAGTTTTTTTGTGATTTTTTAGGAAATTTGAAAGTCAAAAACCCGATTTTTGACTAAAAAAAACGTTATTTCTTAATTTAAAAATATATAAAAATTAAAAATTAAAAAAAGGCCGACGTGAATACCTGAGGAACTAGTTAAAGAATGTGTGTGCCAAATTTCAAATCGATCGGTTCAGTAGTTTTTCTGTAATCGTGTACACCGATTTGAAAAATTGAACTTTTCAGGAGAGCGCTTTAAACTTTGTGATTCTCATGCATTGAACACCAACCAACCTTCGTTCAACTCTGCATAACTTCGTCAATTTTCCCATGATCGATGTAAAACTTGGACACAATATTCTTAAGATATTAGGCCTTAAAAATAAAAAATAAAAAAAAAATCACGAAAAAAAAAATTAAATACCTTACCCCCCCCTTAATGATCCAATTGCAAACTGGAAGGGTATAAAAACATCTGCAAGACGTAGTTAGCTTCCTTTCTTGTTTAAGTTTATAATAGTAATATTCAAAAAGTAAAAACTAAATAAGAATTCTATATGAAGCCATTTTGAAATTGTAATGTAAACTAATTGTGCCGACTAGTCTTATACTAGTAGCTATAGAAAGAAGACCATCCACAGAGTTTCATTCAAATAGCTCTAAAGCTGAGACTAGACTGGCGACGGAAAGTGCAGTGCAGTGGCCTATAGTCCTTTGCTAGGATATGCCCCCTTCTGTCAGGCTTTGTTATTAACATCACTTTCGCTTTCCTCTACGGAAGCGGTATGTTTGTTAGCTTGAGGCATGCTTCATAGATTGATTCATCTGCTGATGCTTTCTTTTGCTGCTTTAAGCATTGCCGGAATAAATTCGTCAAGGCCCTTTTATTTTAATCAAGGGAGTCGGAGTCTATGCCCATTGAATCATTTTCATTGTGATAGCGTCTCCCATTGACGTATGTGTTTCGCTATTGGACCTCTCCAACTCCGAGTTGGCTAGTACATTTCCTGGAATTTCTAGAGATTCCTCGACGGAAATTGTTTACGTGCCGTCAGGTTTATTAATTAAGGTCGGGCTCGTGTGCCTTTGGCAAGGATCTTACTTAGCCTTGCTGGGCCTTCTTATTCCATGATTCGTTTTTGGCTTCGTACACTGCTTTATTGTGTTGTGCTTTTTTGTATGGGCCTATTCCTTGGACCCATAACTTGTGTTAAGGATTTTCGTGTTCTCTTCCTGAGTTTATTCCAGGGATCGTAACAGTTATAATTTTTATAATACAAATTATGAAATAAGAGTTATTTTACAATTATATAGATAAAATAGGAAATTAATTCTTATTATTCAAGTTTTATAAAAAAGTTGTAGAATAATTATTATTTTTCAATTTGTATATAAAAGTTGAGTTAGAACAATTATTTGCATTTTTTAAAATAATAATTAAAAATTAACATTATTCTCCAACTTTTTATTTTAAAAATTGAAAATAATAGTTACGTGTCAATTTTTATTTTCAATTTTTAAAATAAAAAAATCGCAATAACTTTTCAACGGAGCGGTATACCTTAAAGATTGGCATATATAATGATTCTACGCTTCAATACCTTTCGATTGATGTATATATTGTGGTTATTGCTTATGCATAAAAATATGCGTATACGTAATGCTTATTACATTCCCCAAACAAACAAGGATACTAAAATACCTTGGCAACAGCTCCGGTCAATTTAACATTTTAACGTTGTTTTTTAGAGAGTGTAGTTATTTTTTCCTTATCCGTAAATGGTTTTTATTATATATAAAAAAAAACAAAGTATATATTTTTTTAATATTTTATCTTTCCAGCTCAATTTTTTGGTAGTAACTTTTATTTTACTCATAACTCTTATTTGCGATCCCTGGTTTATTCAGCTCCTTAGTCCGCCACAGAGGATATTGCGTTTCTGAGCATAACACCTTACATGTCGACTTGTCGTCGATGACCATATTATCCAACAACTTGATTGTCTCGTTTACCTCCTCTAGAATCTCATTCGGTTCAGCTGGGAAGACCTTGTTCTCGGCCTTCTTTATGACATACCGGATTTTGTACTCGTTCTCTGTAGTTGCGTCAGGTACCTCTGATTTATCAGCAAAAGGAATGGCTGTCTCGTCTTCATCTCCTTCTTTGCTTTGAGGATGCACCAGTCCTCTTACGCATGTCTGGATTTTGCGTTCGCAAACATTTGAGCATCCTTGCATAGCCAGATTTCCCTTTTGTAACCGGATAAAAGCTCTGGGTCTCCTGCGTACCTCCCTGGCGCGAATCAACCTTATACTAAGGCCAGACCACGTGTTGCTAATCTTAGCAACACATTCTTCTAGAAAGCTCATCAAAGCTACCCGGTGCCCCCTGATGGTCGAAAAGTAAAAGGAGGGGATTGGACCGCCAGGCATGACAACCAACCTGCGGTCACCAAGTCAGCCAACTTGGCCTCTATCTCTCCCACTTCTCTGTCAGCAGGTGCACGTCATCATTGAGCTCATCCACCAGCGCCACAGCCAGACTCTCTTTGGCCTTCTAATTACTACAATTCTTCGCCTGCTTGACGAAGGATGCCGCTCTGGGCTGCTTTAGAGTATCCCTGGCCTTTTTAGGTGCGATATCTCGGTATCCTATATATAATTTATGATCGCCTGCTTTGCTCGGCCTGGCAAGTGCAGGACATCTTACGAACCAGGGTGCAAATCAAGAAGTTAGCTGGCACGGGTCGCGTAACATTCCTAAATTGTGGGGAGACCTGCTTAAGACTGTCCGCCAGAGCTCGCACAAATCAAATTGTTTCGCAGAGAGAACAACCAAATGGGCTGAAAAAGGCTAAAAAGGTTCTCTCGAAGATGCTGAGACTTCTTTACTTTATCTGCGATTCCGATTAACTGTAACTTGAGATCGCAAAGACATAGCCTTCCTGGAAACTCGCCCGCTTTTGAGTGGAAACAAGAAAGGAAGCTAACTTCGGCACGCCGAAGTTTGTATACCCTTGCAGATTGGTTTTCATATTTATATTATATTATATTATATATTATAAATTATAATGCCGAAAACAGACACTAAACAGAGTTTCATAACATTTTAACTATACTTATTATGTTTACAGTTTGACAGTTACAGTTTCACATTCGCAACTTTAAATTTTCTCTACATCTACGGATCGCTTCTATGGCAGCTATATGATATAGTCGTCCGAGCCGGCCTATTCCGACTGAGAGTATATAGACGACTATATGAAAAGTTTCATTCAGTTAGCTTTAAAACTGAAGGACTAGTTTGTGTAGAAACGGACAGACTGACATGGCTAGATCGACCGGCTGTTGACTGCGTTGCAAACTTCTGACGAAAATTATAATACCCTGCAAGGGTATAAAAATCGGACGACTATATCATATAGCAGTCATTTGAATGATCGTTTCTTTTTTTAACATATTTTCATCTACTGAGATATAGAAATTTTCTTTTATTTCAGAATTTCAGTTTTAATTTTTTTAATCGAACGAATGAATATATTATATATGTATATATATGTATATGTATGTATATATATTATATTATTATAGATGTAGAGAAAAATGTAATGATCTGATTGTAAAACTGTAACTGTAAAACTTATGTATAGGTAAATGTAATGAGAGTTGTTATTACTTTTTTTCAGGATAAACAAATATAATTTTTCTTCAGATATTTCAGAAACTAAATATTGTTATTTTATCGACTTAAAAATATTGACGCTCTGTATTAATATATATATTTTATATTTTATTCATTTGATCAAAATAGATATATTCTAAATTATCCAGTTGCTTACTGTAGGGGTATCTGCCGAAGTTATTTGACAGCCATATGATACAATCGGTTGAATTACATAGAACTAAAAATGAAATGACATAGTACTACTATGTACCATACGGACCGTAGTTTGACACTTGCATATATTTGATAATTTATTGATGTTCTTTGCCACAAACAATATTTCAGCCTGGGACAGGAATTGTGGATGGGAAGGAGTATCGATAATGCATCTGCTCCTGGGGTTGTTGCCTATTAGAAGTATTTTTCTTGCGATAGTCAAAGTACACAGCCACTTTATGCTAAAAGCGCTTTCTATTTGATGCATCTTTTTATACGGATTAACGTCTTAAGTTAATTGTATATACTTTCCTACACTTATTTATTAATTGATTATATTTTTCCCATTTGATTTTGTCTACATCTACATCGCTCCTGTACACTACTGATTCACAATAACCACTCTGGAACAACAAACACTCCTGTCAACCACATCATCATACTGAATCCATCGTCGTGGTGTTCGTAGGTCAGTTGGCCGTTGGCAGTTGGCGCACTCGCTTCGGACGACTATCAAACAAGCCGGCGTTGGGTCAGGTTATTGCCGGGACATTTTGTGCAGTGCCCGATGATTGGCTGAGAAGAAAATTGGGTAATGACTGAGAATCAGCAAATACTTAACCCAAAGCCCTGTGCAAGAATGTTTACTGATGACACTAACAACACTCAGCACTTGCTCTCCATTAAATTTATTGCCTTTTTCTTGTTCGCAGTTGAGTCTGCGGCACCTCCCACAGCTGGCCAGTTATACAGTAGTAAGTAATACGTTAAAAAGAATTTGATAAATACATATCCACTTCGACATTTACTTTCTTTAGTCTTTTTCGTGAATGCTGTTCCATTTATCGCTTTTGGTTTTCTTGACAACTTCATCATGATAATGGCGGTATGTATATTCTAACTTGAATCTCATTCATTAAGATGTAAAGTTAAACAAACTTTTGCTTCCTTAGGGCGAATACATTGAGTACTATTTGGGCCACTTTATCACGCTGTCAACAATGGCGGCTGCTGGTCTTGGCAACACCATAAGCGACATTCTAGGTATCACAATGGCAACATATGTCGAGAACGGCTGCCAGATATTGGGCCTCAAGCAGCCCAAGTTGACACCAGCGCAATTCGAGCTCAAGTCCAGCAAGAGATCATCCAGTTTTGTAGGTTAAACTGCAAAGCCATCGCAAAAAGCTAATTAAAAGAAAACTTCTATTCCCCAGGGTCGTATCGTCGGCATTACAGTAGGCTGTCTGCTTGGAATGTGTCCTTTGTGGTTCATGGAGGAGAAAGCCTCGGAAAAGACAGATGCGGCGACTAACTAAAAAAAGAAAACTAAGAAAGTTTGGGCTAACCTGGTCACTTAGATGCGGCATTATTGATTCATTTTAAAATCCTTATATTGCCTAAGGAGCAATTGAAATAATTTATTGTTATTTCTTATTCGTCAGTTTGTAGAATGAAAAGTGTTACTGGCTCTTATATCACAAAAAAATGTATTTGGGAAAATAGATTATTTAATTTGATTTAAACTTCCCTTAAATGTGAGTCACCAAATGGGCCAAGCTAAACTATAGAAAATTGCAATCAAGTTCTTAGAAAATCAATGTACTTAAATTCAATTTATATGTATATACGAAGTTAGTTAACAATATATGTATGTATTGAGATAAAAACAATCAATTAGTTAAGGACTGTCCTCTTACCTAGTTTCACTGAAAAGTGCCTATTAAACGTGCTTAAAAACTTGTGCCCTCCTCTACACAATTCTAACCATATCGCATTGGCTTTACTTTAAACTTAAAAACAAAATACATGTGTACTAAAAAGTAGACTACAAGAAAATTATGATGTTCCAGTTGTAGAGCTTATCCATACACAATAAATACAATTTGAATTAGCTTTAAAGAGGTATGTTTAAAAACGTTCGTTTAAAATTTATTACAGCACGCCGAGTCATTTGAATCTTTATTTGTGTGTTAAGATGTGCAATACAATAGGTCAACTATTTTAAATGAACACCAATAATGAATTGGTCACTGCATCGGTAAGCAATTGCCAAAACACAGAAGCGTTCCTTGTTTGCTGGCAGCGTATGTTCAACAAGATTCGGTTACTATTAGCTATCAAATAATTTAAATTTTCCTTCAAAGAATCGCTGCTATACTGTGATTTAATGTTGAGCCAGTAGTTTTGAGGGCTGTCCTGTAAAGAAAACAATTCGCTATCGGAATAGTTTCTTGTTAACGGTAAATATGGTACAGAGGATTTGATTAATCGGCGCGTGTACTCAGTCTCATTTGGTATTGTCTGGGTGCAATACAGCCGTTCATGTCTCAACAGTTCCTCTTTTACGTTCAGTGCATCCCAGTTTTCCATGCCCGAATGAGCGGAGACGTTATCGTTAGTATTAGCCGCTCGCTGTTGCGATGAATTTGAGACCGCTGACGGAGCTGATGCCTCCTCAAGAGTCAAAGTGGGTACCGGAGCTGAAGCCGTAACTGGTCGGCGGTGCCACATAGTGCCAGGAACCTGGCTGGCTATAAAAAAAGCACTCGCTAATGTTATAACACTTGCTGCATAGCTCAGCGCCAGAACGGAAAAGCTGTTTGCCAGGAACTTCGTCCACTCAAAGCTGGGAAGCAGTTGGATAAGCTCACTATACGTCAGCCAGCCGCGACGTAATCCCTCTCTCTCCGCCAGCGTTCTTTCCACACTGTTCAATTTTGCAAAGAAGTGTTCGTTAGAAACATATATATTCCAGTCCTGAAAACAAAGAAAAAATCGTTTAGTATCTTTGATCTTACCCCTTACAGGATATTATAATTGTAACCAGAAGTTTGCAAATCCGTCCCTATGAAGCTTATATATTCTAGATCTGCTCTAACAGCCGAGGCGATCTTGACATGTCTGTATATCCGTGAATCCGTTGCTATGCGGCCTAGAGAGACTAAGCAGGTACTATAAATGTCCGATCGGACGACTATATCATACAATTGCCTAAATAACTGTCAAAAAATTTATATAAATCGAATAGGAAAGCTAAAGAAAGTCGGGTGTGAACGACTTTGTACCTAAAGCAATGTGGGTGAAATTTGATATGGATGTTTGTTTTAAACATCTTGCGATAGAGGAACGTCACTGAAAAGCTAATTGAAAATGCCAAATTGATCTAAGTATTTTTTTTTAATTTTTTCCAACTTTTTTTTATCGCGAAAACGGCTTGCTTATGTCTTCTAGCGCTTAAGGCTTACTTATTTTCGGTATTTGAAATATATATCCTAATATTCATTTTTTTTCGTTCTCTTTTTTAGACATTGGCATTTCCAATATCGCGCACAAAACATTCGTCGCGCTCAAATTAAAAAAAAAAAAAACTAGACAGGAAACGAGTTATTTCTGATGAAAGACTTATCATAAAGCTTTTTACTAGATCTTTATTGGTGCAAAGATTAATTTTGGAGAATTTTTCAGTTCATAGATAACACAGGAACACAAAATTAAACTTTGTGAAATTTCCACGAACCATTTCAAGTTTTCCATGATATTTGGGTGCTCCTGAGTAAAAGTCCCATACAAAATTATTTTCCATCAGCTGCAGGTTCCGCGGTATACCTAAGAATACAAAAAACCTATGTTTGCCGACATTTTGAATTACGTGGCCTATATAATTGGACTTACCTTTATTATTTTTGGAAGGACCTACTCTCAATACATCACGGCACTACTAAAAAATAGTCCCAATCGTGAACTATTGCCCATGTCTTTGGAATTCGACGCCAAAGTTGAAACTCCCAAAATTTTCAACATTTCTGTGATGAAAAAACAATTCTGAGAATTAAATCTTATATGGAACTAATTTTAAATATTCATTGAATCTATTGTTCATTGTATTCTTTAATTTCGGTTTAAAGCGTTTTCATGAGGACATTTTATTGGATTTATTAAACGAATAAAACAGCTTTTTTGGTTTTATTATCTACTCCTATTTGCTGTCAAATTTCAAATAAGTCAAGGCAACCTATAAAATAGTAGTATATATGTTTCTTTTTAAATATAATATAAATTTAGTTTTATATTAAATAAAAAGGTCTTCCGAACATAACATTTTTAAGACAGCTTAGTAGCCAGCGATAATCCTTACATATTTAAGTTTAGTCAAAAAGAAAAAATGTATATTATATATAAAAAGATACATATCTACTACTATTTTATAGGTTGCCTTGACTTATTTGAAATTTGACAGCAAATAGGAGTAGATAATAAAACCAAAAAAGCTGTTTTATTCGTTTAATAAATCCAATAAAATGTCCTCATGAAAACGCTTTAAACCGAAATTAAAGAATACAATGAACAATAGATTCAATGAATATTTAAAATTAGTTCTATATAAGATTTAATTCTCAGAATTGTTTTTTCATCACAGAAATGTTGAAAATTTTGGGAGTTTCAACTTTGGCGTCGAATTCCAAAGACATGGGCAATAGTTCACGATTGGGACTATTTTTTAGTAGTGCCGTGATGTATTGAGAGTAGGTCCTTCCAAAAATAATAAAGGTAAGTCCAATTATATAGGCCACGTAATTCAAAATGTCGGCAAACATAGGTTTTTTGTATTCTTAGGTATACCGCGGAACCTGTAGGTGATGGAAAATAATTTTGTATGGGACTTTTACTCAGGAGCAGCGATGGGCACGAGATCTAACGGTTTGAGCAGCAGCTCGCTGAAAAAAAAAAACAACAACAACCCCCAGCGTTGCGAACCGTCGCACCCACGCGACACACAGAATGTGCGAGCCGAGAAAATACACTGACAAAAACTTTTTGAGTAGATCAATATCTTCAGCCATTTTTACGTGCATTTATGTACGCCTAAAAAAAACGACTGCAAAAGAAATCCAAACTTTTTTCTTTAGTGCAGAAGTCAACGCTAGCCGCACAGTTCCCTTTAAAATTGTTCTTGTTTTTTGGACGATGTGCGAGTTCGGGTCACTTGTGTTTTGTTGTTGCAAACTCGGGATCGCGGGGATGTGCTCGCTACCTGCGCCAAAGATCAGTGTGGTTGTTTTTGTAAATCTTCACGGTTCGCTGGTCGCGAGCACTGCACTTGTGCGTCTGCAATTGTGCGACATGCTGGCGCCTCCGAAAAAAGATAACGGTTTGAGCAGCGTGAGCAAATTGAGCCACTGCGTGCCCATCGCTGCTCAGGAGCACCCAAATATCATGGAAAACTTGAAATGGTTCGTGGAAATTTTTAGCTGTGTACCTGTGTAATTGTAAAATTTAAGTGATTCGCACGGGACAAAAGACAGAAGTGGTTTTTGAGAAACTAATTTTGAACTCTTAAAATGGTTGAATTTTAATAATTACTTTTTTTGTTATTTAATTTAAAAAATGCAAATCAAATTTTAGCGTTGGTAATCGCATATTTTATTTTTTCATCTTTGCATTCTCTAAGTGATGTTAGAAATCAAATGTTTAGATGTTATTATCAAAACAAAACATGTTTTTTTTATACCCTTGCAGGTATTATAATTTTAGGCACATAAGCGGATAAACATATATATATATATATATATATACATACTTATTATATACCATCTGAAAGGTATTGATGTGTAGATTATATATATACATACATATATATTGGATCTGGCTTCTACGGATCAAAAGATATATAGATTCAATCTTTATTTTCAATTTTTAAAATAAAGTTATCGAATAATTCTTATTTTTCAATTTATATAATAAAAATTGAAAATAAAAGTTATTGCGTAATTTTTATATAAAAATTTATATTTAATAATTATGACTCATTTTTAATTATTAAAATTAATTTTAATTATTAAAAATCAATTTTTTTCATAAAAATTGAAAAAAAAAAAAATTTATCCTGTTTTTGAACTCGCAATGAAACTTTAACTTATGACAATTTTTTCAAATTTTTTTGGACTTCAATTTTTTGGGCTTCAATTTTTTTTTAACTCATAATAATTATTTGCGGTCCCTGGTTCTTAATGACCCAAATACAAACCGCAAACGTATAAAAACTTCGGCAGGCCGAAGCTTAATTTCTTGTTCTTCATTTTTCAAAACTCGACTCTCTTTGTGCAATATCTTTTAAAGGGAAAATTTAAGCGAAATACTTATATTGAAATAATAAGTCTAAACTGCTGATATTTGGAAAACACGAGGTCGAAAATTAAACAAAAATTATAAGAGCTATTTTAAGTACTCACTATAGCGCAGAGAAATTCTAATTCCATTTTCTTCAGCCTGTCTTCTGTCATGTTTCCCTCCTTAGCCCAATCTTCCATATAGAACTGTTCATCGTGGCCAGCATAAAACTTTGTAGAAATCATCTGCGAAATCAAATAAACGTATGAAACATTTTACCAAACAAGACAAAACCATAAATTCTTTGATGGGACGCAAAGGCATTGGCTAATTCGGTGCAAACGGCCCACTTTTTATAAAAATGTTGTGGCGAAAAGGTTAAAGTTAGCTCAATGAATTAAATACCATATAATTGAAACATTGAAACAGTTAATAAATATCTTGTACAGGGTGCGCCATCTTTTATGTCGGTATGTAAACATTTAATATCTTTGAAAATAAACAACCGATTTTCAAGTATGAGATTTTTTTTTTAATTTGGTTCTTTAGAATTTCTACAGACTAATTTTTGAAAACAATATCAATCAAGTGGCCGAATTTATTGGACACACAAAAAGTGCCCTTTTTGCTGCATTTCCATTACTTTTTCTAGCATCTCAGGTGGTATAGCCATGATTTCCGCACGAATATTAGCCATGATCTCGTCAATGGTTTGAGGCTTGCCGGCGTAAACTTTGCTTTACAAATATCCCCACAAAAAGAAGTCCGGAGGTGTGAAATCTGGAAATCTGAGTCGGATCAATTTAGCCTTTTTTGAGTTTTCGAGTCAACACAACTGAACGACTATTTTCAATGTAAAGCGTCACTATTTCAGCGCGTTCTTTTGGAGTAAAGCGATCCATGATTAAAATTCTTCTGAAGTGAGCTTTTCTACACTGGTCTACTCAAGTTAATTGGTTCACTAATGACACAGTTATTCGATATTTATATACCGACATAAGAGATGGCGCACCCTGTATAAAAGAATATTTAGAGGTCTAGGAGTAATTTGGAATCTCCAGTCTCCTTAAAAAAAAGTAGGTTTTTGGTTTACATCCTAACAGTCCACAAAATCATCTGATATCAAAAAACAATAATGCATTAGTTAAAAGATAAGCGTCCCGAGGTACTCACGTGGCAGCGAATTAACCATACCCCACTGCGCACTGGTTGTGAATAGAATATTTACATATATATATAGTACATACATACATACGTGTGTTGGGTGAGTCAATGTGCACTCTTCTAGCAGGTTATCAATCAACAGGTTACAGAGCCATATACATATGTACGTATGCATATGTACAATATATACATATATAGTCAAAATGCCTACTAACCAGCGACACAACGAACAACTCCTGGGGAGTAATGCGGCAGCTATAGCCCGGATCTATCGTATTCAAGCGGTCCAGGTAAATAAGAGCCATAATTAAAGAACATGGCGTCGCCTGAATTTTACCAGCGGCCACACAACTCAGGCGGTGCAAAGAGTGTCCTCGATGTGGTTCAGAAAATATCTCAGATGCGTACTCAGCGAGGGGAGATGGAACAACCTTCATGTCAGTGTCCGCAGTTTCCACGCCATAGTACAGAGTTTTCCGTATCCGTTTTATGAAGTCTCCGTGTTGCATTACCTGCCAAAATAAAACAAATACAATTTAAATAACCGTAACATTTGAGTTTGCTCTCTATGCTGGTACCTTTTTAGGCGAAGCAAACTTACTACGCCCCATTTCGCCGAAATGTGAGCTATGGTTAGAATCTTCACAGGAATGCGAAATTTGGTCTTTGTTACCAATATGATAGAGGTGGACGAGTATCGATTTTGAATATAAATTTATCGATGTTTAAAACTACGTACAAACACCGATTTGTAAACGAAAATGTATTAATAGGGTCTTCCCACAGAGCTTGCATCTGCATCCACCGTCCGCTGAACAAACGGCCAAAAGGTTTTGCCGCTCCGAAATTTCTCATTTTAAGCCTAGTACTCTGACGAGAAAAACCCGCTGTCTAAATTAGACAGCGGAATCGCTGTTTATTTCGCTACCGAGCTAGTGTGACCAAAAAAAAATTAAGGAAAATCCTGAAATGCCATGAAAATGTACTTTTTGTGGCGTTTAATTTTTATTTTTTTTCTTTGGTTACACTGGACAGCTGTTTGTAAACAAATATTATAAAAAAATATTATAAAATATTAATAAATATGGCATTAAAATGTGTTTTGTGGGTTAAATTCCATATTATGGGCTTCCCCTTAACAGCCCCTATCAATGCCACTTTTTTCCTTCAATTTTCCCTCCATTAGGGGTGTCTAAATAAATCAAATGAATTATTTAGACAGCGCGATATCAGCTGTTTACTATCTTGATCTGGCAACGCCATTCAATTTTCGCAGGCTTCATTTTCATCGTCAGAGTACCGAAAAAAACGAGGTGTCTAAAAGTTCTTCTTCTTCTTTTTTCGACACCGTTTTTTTTATATGGAGTTTGGCCGCTGTCTAAATTTATACAGCGGATTTTTCTCGTCAAAGTACCAGGCTTTATACCGCATCCGTTGTGCATCTAAATTTGACTTCCATCTGTTGGCGATAGTTTTTCGGTGCAACTCCGATTTCTTCTTAACAGTGAAAACGTAACCATAAGATAAACTCAAACTCCTCGTAAGCTAATTTATTTAAATTTAGTGCGTATAAAATGTTAAAGCTAAATAGGTGACGCTTAAGTTGTAAGGTTAACACGGTTTGGATGCAGATGTAGCTCCGTGGTAACAACTGTTTCACACAGAGCTTGCATTAATCTGCATCCGCATCCAATTACAGCTGATTGATCAGCTGTTGCTCATGCAAACGTAAGCAAAGATGACTGACGCGGCCGATGTGGGAGTAATATGAATATCAACTATTAAGGCTGTTTAACAACAGCAAAACCACATATTGCGTCAGATTTTATTAGCGCTAAATTAAAATGAATTATATGACGAGAAATTTTAGTATTTTTTAATGGTTTTTCTGTAATACGGGCATGACACTGCCGCATTAATTAGAGACTTCATTAAAGATTTGACAGCGCTATAGCGTTTTACACAAGTGCAAGCAAGACGACTATATGGCGCTCTAATGCATTAGAATAATGCATTAGCTACTTCATTGGCGCGATAATCGATAGATATACATAAAAATACTAGATACTCGATAACAAAATACGGGTTTAATGAAGAAAATTGTAATTGAAAAATGTATTAGCCAGCTCATTGACAGTCTGGTCTCACAATGAGAATTTTATTTTTATATCATTTGTTGATGAATCATCAACATTTCATCAGTATTTCATCAACATTTCATCAACATTTCATCAGTATTTCATCAACATTTCATCAGTATTTCATCAACATTTCATCAGTATTTCATCAACATTTCATAGTATTTCATCATCCTTTCATCAGTATTTCATCAGTAATTCATCGATGAAATAATGATGAAATACTGATGAATTGCTGTTGATGACAGCCTATGACATGCCCATGTTAAATTCATCAGTAATTTGTATGGCAATTCATCGATGAATCATCAACAAAACGCTTCGGCTATTGATGAAACGTTGATGAAATGTTGATGAATGGTACTGCAGGGTTGCTCCATCATCGTGATAAAGGGTAGTGTCGGTTATGACTTACTCTTCTCCAATAAAAAATTTTTTATAAATTTAAGCCTAGTACTCTGACGAGAAAAAACCGCTGTATAAATTTAGACAGCGGCCAAACTCCATATAAAAAAAACGGTGTCGAAAAAAAAGAAGAAGAACTTTTAGACACGTCGTTTTTTTCGGTACTCTGACGACGAAAATGAAGCCTGCGAAAATTGAAAGGCGTTGCCAGATCAAGATAGTAAACAGCTGATATCGCGCTGTCTAAATAATTCATTTGATTTATTTAGACACCCCTAATGGAGGGAAAGTTGAAGGAAAAAGGTGGCATTGATAGGGGCTGTCAAGGGGAAGCCCATAATATGGAATTTAACCCACAACGGACATTTTAATGCCATATTTATTAATATTTTTAATATTTTTTTGAATATTTGTTTAAGCCTAGTACTCTGACGAGAAAAACCCGCTGTCTAAATTAGACAGCGGAATCGCTGTTTATTTCGCTACCGAGCTAGTGTGACCAAAAAAATTAAGGAAAATCCTAAAATGCCATTAAAAATTTACTTTTTATGGCGTTTAAGGATTTTCTTTTGTCACACTGGACAGCTGTTTGTAAACAAATATTCAAAAAAAATATTAAAAATATTAATAAATATGGCCTTAAAATGTCCTTTGTGGGTTAAATTCCATATTATAGGCTTCCCCTTGACAGTCCCTATCAATGCCACCTTTTTCCTTCAACTTTCCCTCCATTAGGGGTGTCTAAATAAATCAAATGAATTATTTAGACAGCGCGATATCAGCTGTTTACTATCTTGATCTGGCAACGCCATTCAATTTTCGCAGGCTTCATTTTCGTCGTCAGAGTACCGAAAAAAACGACGTGTCTAAAAGTTCTTCTTCTTTTTTTTCGACACCGTTTTTTTTATATGGAGTTTGGCCGCTGTCTAAATTTATACAGCGGATTTTTCTCGTCAGAGTACTAGGCTTTACAAACAGCTGTCCAGGGTGACCAAGGAAAATCCTTAAACGCCATAAAAAGTACATTTTCATGGAATTTCCTTAATTTTTTTGGTCACACTAGCTCGGTAGCGAAATAAACAGCGATTCCGCTGTCTAATTTAGACAGCGGGTTTTTCTCGTCAGAGTACTAGGCTTTACTAAATATTATAAAGGGATACGAGTCATTGAAATTGGTAGACAAAAAAGTAAAGCCTTTTTGCTCACTATCGGTATTACGGTACATTACGGTCAAATAAACTTAATAGTACCTTTCTTACGTTTTTGTATCACTATGTCTAAAACCTGCCATAGAAAACTATTAGTTTAAACAGTAAATTGTTTCTGAAAACCAAGTATGATTTTTAATGCAGCACGCACTGCGTACGGTAACGGGTATCTTTCAGTCGAGAGCACTCGACGTTAGCATTCATACTTGTTTTTTTTTCGGCTTTTTCGAGTATAAATAAAAGAGTCCTCAACTCGTTCGCCGACTGTTGGGTTTCGATCACGCATGCTAGAGGTTGAGCACGTCCCACCTAAAGAAGTTATTTAAGTAAACGCTGAGGAGGATTTGAGTTCTGAGTAAGTGAATCAAGAAAGTGCAGGTGTGGGTATTTTCATTCTTTGAATTGTGTTGTTACCTTATAGACGTGAAGTATATAATCACTTGTTTAAATTGAAAATCAGATAGAACGTGAATTGCATGTGAAATATACCAATGAGCTAATAAGTTTCAAGCCTGAGTAGATTTTTGAGGATTTTAAAAGTGGCACAAAAGTTCAATATATATAGGTATAGACTTAATCAGTATACTATCTGAATGGAATTTTAATACTTCCCAATTTTTTATGAAAAAAGCCAGCCAAACAGACGCATATTGCGCAATCCAGAAGGAGGCAAAAAAGCCGGTTGAGTTGCTCTTCATGGCGTTCAATGAACTCCAAGCAGCCAGAACCCGAATTATTCTACCAACGTTCTGGAGCATGCAAGAATATTACTACAAAACTTGTCCAACGTCTTTTTTCGCACCGCTGCCGTAGGTTACATTTTTTATTTAAATAAGATCGGATTTTGTTATCGTGCACTGACCGGAGGGAGAGAACAATTGGCTTCCCACAACAACGAAAACCGGTTAACAAATTATTAACCCAATTCTAAGGCGATTTGCATATTTGCCGAAGAAGAACAGAAATTGGCACAACGAAAACAATTTGAAGGAAAAAGAAAGGGAATATTTGCGAAAAGGCAGACTTGAATAATTGATAAGCGGATTTAGATATTTTGTTTTTATACCCTTGCAGGGTATTATAATTTCAGTTTGCAACGCAGTGAAGGATACATTTCCGATTCTATAAAGTGTATATATTCTTGATCAGCATCAACAGCCGAGTCCATCTAGCCATACTCGTCTGTCCACCTGTCCATTTCTACGCAAATTAGTCCTTCAGTTTTAAAGCTATCTGAATTAAACTTTGCATATAGTCTTCTATATACTCTCACTGCTATATATGTATGTCGGAACGGGCCGGATCGGACGACTATTTCATACAGCTGCCATATTGATCGACAAATTTTTAGAAGAAAAAATTATAACTTTGTTGTGTTTCAACATATTTTGCATAATTGTTCAGATATGACAATTTATTATTATTTCAGAATTTCGGTGTTAATTTTACGAAATTTTACGACTATATTTTATAGCTGCCATAGGAACGATCGGAAAATTAATAGAAACAATTTAAAACTTCGTAGTTTTCCAAAGTATTCTCATCTAGTTTGAGATATATCTAGATATATATATTGTATAGGTAAAATGTTATGAAACTTTGTGTATGTTTTCAGCATTTTATTTATGATATGTATAAATATACAACTTTTATATATTTCTCTTTATTTTTTTTTAAGTTAAGTTAATACACTTAACCAGAGTGGCTCGATTCTTAATGATCCAATTGCAAATTGCAAAGGTATACAAAATTCGGCGTGTCGAAGTTAGCTTCCTTTCTTGTTATCTCTTCTCATTCGGCAAGTACAATCGAAAATGTAAACAAAGTGATGAATAAAATTATAATCAATTTAACTGACTCCATTAAAATATAAAAACAAAACAATCTTAATTTTAGAATTTGTTATAGAAAGTCTGACAGGCAGTGGGAAAATGTAAACTTAAAAAAGGTTCTTTTGTCTTTGGAACAATCGCTTATACATACAATAACAAAAACGGCTTGAATATATCGATACATGTATTGGATGTGGGAGCGATCTGAATATTAATTTGTTTACCGAATTGTCATTAAAGAATGCTCGGTCGGGGCAAGACGAACCTTCATACTATGAACGACCTAACTACATATTTTTATATGTGAACCGCTTTTCCTTGAGTTATATTTTATACTTTAGATATGTGAGACGTGACAAACTACGCGGGTCTGGTGCCAACATAATAGAGGTGTTTTCGCAGTTTTGAATTAAAAAAAAAAATGAAAATGAAACGTATGGTTTTAAATGACTTTTTCTTTTATCTTTTTTTAATAATTTTCATTACATCTAATTTTAATTTGGTGCAGCAATCGGACAAGATATAAAAAGGATAATGATATGGATTTAACCAATCATTTTATACCCGATACTCATAGATTATAAGGGTATAATAGCTTAGTGTCAACGGAATAGATTTGCATTCAAAATTAAATTAAATTTTCTTATTATGTATTTATTTTATTAAAGCACAAATCACAAAAATGCAATGATTTACGTATTTTGTTCTCTTTTATTTTAATAAGCTGTTCTTTTTTATAGAACACTTCTTTTGTAACGTTTTTTTCAGTATTTATTTTCTCTAGTTCTAATAAGAACATTTTTTGTTTGTTTTAACTATTTAATTTTTAAGTAAGTTAAAACATTTTCTAGTATCCGGGCATTGCAACGTTTAATATATGCATAAGTTATGAAAAAACCTACCACACAATAATAAAAGAAGAAGAAAAATTCAGCTTCAATTTAATACATAATTTTAACAAATAATTTAAAATATTATAAACAAGAAAGGAAGCTAACTTCGGCACGCCGAAGTTTGTATACCTTTGCAGATTGGTTTTGATGTTTATATTATAGACTTAAATACTGAAAACACACACAAAACAGAGTTTTATTACATTTTACCTATACCTTTGTTTGACAGTTACAGTTTTACATTCCCAGCTTTACATCTACCGATCGCTTCTATGACAGCTTCATGATATAGTTGTCCGATTTTCATAAAACTTTTACCAAAATTCTGAAATAATATCAAAAGCTCATATCTTAAGAGTAGATGAAAATACGTTGAAAAACAACGAAGTTTTAATTTTTTTTCCTATTAATTTCCCGATCGTTCCTATGGCAGCTATATGATATAGTCGTCCGATTTTCATAAAATTAAAAACAAAATTCTGGAATAATATAAAATGGCTATATCTCAAAAATGATGCTAAAATATTGAAAATTTGTATGGCAGCTATATGATATAGTCGTCCGATCCGGCCCGTTCCGACATATATAGCAGTGCGAGTATATAGAAGACTATATGCAAAGTTTCATTCAGATAGCTTCAAAACTGAGGGACTAGACGGACATGGCTATATCGACTCTGCTGTTGATGCTGATCAAGAATATATATACTTTATAGGGTCGGAAAGGTCTCCTTCCCTGCGTTGCAAACTGACTGAAATTAAAAAACTAAAAACAACAAGAAAGGAAGCTAACTTCGGCAAGATTGCAGTTTATAATTGGATTTTATAGATTCGAACCATTTTCGTAAAATTAATAGAAAAATCGTTTTTTTGTAAAAATATATATATTTATGCATAGCATATTTTAAGTTTGTTTCTTAAAAATAAAGTAATCAAAATAATCGAAATGAAGTTATTTTTAAATCGTATGAAAGAACTATATTTTAGATTAAAAAAAATTATATATTTATCAGGGACCGTAATCATTATAAGTTATATTATAAAAATCAAATGGTAATGATTTTATTTTATTTATTTTTTTTTTATTGCAAGACGTTTATGCACTATGTACAGTACATAACATAAGTGGACCTTGCTACACCAAGCTTGTTCATGTTAGGTGTTGGTAGGCGCGAAGGAAATAAATAAAAAAGGATGCGAGGAAACTACTACTGGCGTGCTGCCGGATTGGTTGCTTACATGCGTACTCCGTGGGTTATGATTAATGTTTTTTGTTGAGGAAGACTATCAACATTAGATTTTATGGTGTACAAATCATTGTAATTTGCACAAAGGACTCTAAAAAGTTCATGCACTTTAAAAGACGTTCCAAAAGACGTTCTACAGTGGTCCAAAAATTATGATATAAAGGATCTAGTATAGTATATAGTACCCAGCAATTAATATAATACCTAGCATGGTTCTACGATTAGATAAAGTAAGTAAGTAAGTTAATTAATAGGAGTCTACTAGTATAACCGTGTAAAGCGAAAAGTAACAAGTTTTTTTAACCGATTCTACATATGCGTTTGCTATGGACTCCAAACGCAAGATCCATATTCTAAGATAGGACAAACAAGTGAAGTATATAAGGATTTTGTAACATAGGGGTCATTGAATTCCTTCGACGAACTTTTAATGAAACCAAGCACACCCCTGGCTTTATTCACCATGCACGAAATATGATTGATAAAGTCAAGTTTAAGATCGAGACGGACACCCAAATATTTATATTTTATATTTTATTATATTATGATCCTAGAGCAGCAAGTTTACACTTATAATTGTAGCGCTAGTCACATAGATTTTGAAATAGTATATACTTAATTTTAACACATATGAACTTATATCTATAACGTATTACTACATGTCTTCTAGTTAACAATTGTTTTATTCTTATATCACATTTTACCTTAAATATTCTTTAATTTGAGATTTTGAACTGAGTTGCGTCCCTAATTGTCTTATATCTATGTGGTATATTGTTCCACAGACGGATAGCATTAGTAAAGAATTGCCTATTCGAGCACAGCGAATTATATCTTGGGCATATATAATTATTCGTTCTAGTTGAGGTAGCAGATTTGAGTTTGTCAAACATCACAATTTTGTGGAAATATAATAGAGTCCTATAGCGAATCCACGAGGTCAAGTTTAGGTCAAGAATTTTATTAGTCAAGTGAGATACATGGTCAAGTCGTTTTAGATTAAAGACATACCGTACAATTGAGTTCAAAGCTACAGCCAGCTTGTGCATATCGCGTGTGTCACAGTGTCCAAATACTTCCACTCCATAAAACATAGTTGGTATTATAATTACCCTGGCTACTAAAAGCCTTATTTGTATCGGGAGGAATGTCTTGGAATATGACAGATGCCTCAGCATACCGTATGTTCGCCCTGTAGCTTTGGATATATGTTTGCTCCAGCTAAGGGTGTTACTAAATGTAAATCCTAAGTTTACTGCACTCTGCTCAAATTGAATCAGCGTGCCATTGATTGCTAGATTTGGAATGTTCGTTGTATCAATCGGGCAATTACTATACACTTTGATTTACTAGGATTTATACACAAGCCATTACCTCTTGTCCA